TTATCTGGATCTAATTCTCAGTGTTCCTTCACTTAACACCTCATCCTGTTTTAAACGATGCACTATCCTGTAATATCTTTTCTTCTGACCACTGCCTGCCTAATTTCATATTCACGAGTTCCATTGCTAAACAACGAGGATGACTACTCCAAAAACATACGGTGAGTTTCAGCTATAAGTTTTCTGCAATCATAAGTTCATTTTAGATGGCACACATAATTATCTGGATTCATTCAATTGTTCTGATCAGAGCGAGTCCCAAAGACCTCAACAGCATCAAGCAACCTGAAATTAATTGCCATACTGCATGTTTTATTCTGGATGCTTTTGGATCATTACTACTCCTCACGAATGGCGTTATATATGTCGTCCACTGAATAATCTAATTTTCAAAAATAATCCAGGCGAGTTCAACTATTTTACTGGATGATTTTTTTTTACTTAACATGTATATGTTTTCCGGTTCCTTTTGCTATATATTTGTAAGTGTCCCTAGGCTAAATGCAGTAACTTCTTATGGAATGTTTATAACGCATCATATTCCTGCCTGAAGTTTCACAAGCAGTCTAAACTTTAAAACTATTTTCTGGTCGTGTTCATTATTTTTAAATTGTCATATACGTCAACAACCTGCTTGTTAACCTGGCCCGTACATGCGTTGCACTATATCTTCATGTCTTCCAAATTTAGAAATCATCTGAGTCGCCTTTAACATTTATCAATAAACTCATCATAGTTGTTGTTGCTAATCGTATTTGGGTTTATTGATTGGTTTATCATATTAGCAGCCAAAATGCGAACATAGTTTAGATAATAAGATTAAAATTTAGGTACTATCAACTGCACTAGTAAAATAACTAAATCCTCAGGTAGTTGTTGGCTAAACAAACGTTTAAAATCAAAACTCCGTAGCCTACTAGGATTAACACTAAACGAATATTTCTGAATTAAAATTTATAATTAAATTAGGCGTCTCGGATTCTTTAACGTTATAAATTTCTGATAATTTTGAATCGCCTAAAGCAACAATACCTATTTTTCCACTGACTGATCCTCAATCAACACTATAACTAGTTAAACGTAATAGTTTCAGAATATCGTCATAAAGCATTGTCATGACTTGACAATCACGTAATATGATTGATAAAATTAATGAAACTATTAACAAAATCGGTCAGTAAATTGACTTATAATTATCACTAGTGTTGTTTTTCTTTTATCTTCATTCACTACAGATGATTACAGTATGTTTCTCTATCAGTTGCTTATTCAGTAAATATCTCAAAACCTTGTCAGTCTAATTGGAGGTTTAGCGACACAATCATGCATGCAAATAATCAGTATAAGCAGTCGAGCAAATCTCCTGCAAACTGAAAACATTAATGTCGAATTTACCCCCAACACTGACTAAGGTTCAAGCCATTATCATAGACATGAGTTGGGAGTGTACTCCCCTTGGTTACAACTTATGTACTCCCTGATAATCACATGAGCATCACTCACGGTTAATCATCTTGTGAAAACGTATTTGACCGAGTACATCTTACAGCACCACATCACTTAGTAATGTGACACAGGCTTAACTGATTTCAGTAACTTATAATCACCATATCTCATTTAGATCGTATTCTGCCCGCATACGTGCAACTAACTTGTATGCCCATCAGCCGGCAAGTATAAATATAAATAAAGTCTATCGCAGATCAGAACATTGAGTCTAGAGCATGTCTCTTACGAATACGCTCATGTTTAACGATTTGTTCCTAGCTATCTGTCCAAAATTCATATAATCATCACTCACGTATTTAAATTTTATTTTGGTAACCATTCATGTGTATTAGTAGTATTACCAGATTCTATCACGGTCAAGTAAAAATGAGGTTGAGAAAATCTCCCCGTAACTAAATAAACCGTATCAAACTAACTGGAACACTAGTTGGAATTCTTTACCACGGTAATACTTTTGTTCCTTCAGTCAGCCTACTGATACAGATGCAATTGGAAATCAACTCTTATGGACAACTTACCGGGATAATCGTTATCCGATTTCATAATTTAAACCAAAACTAATACCAATATTAACATTTCTACAATATTCATTATTTTAATATTTCTAAACACAAAATAATTACTACCTATAAGTTAAGTTATTAACACGCATCGTTTTATTATTATTATTATAATCTCATTTTTTATAGTTCAAATAATCTTCACCCAAATTTTCATTTCAAGCGTTTTAAGCATGAAGGCAGATATTTTAAAATTATTACATGTATTTCCCGACCAGATGCTGCCGCTTTATTTTTGATTTATCTTTCAGCTTACCAATACCCGGAGGATTCTTATTATCCTTGGTAACCTCCGGCGCGCGACGATCCCATCCAATTTGGTATCGAACCAACATCACGTTGATTCTGGTGGGAGAGTAGTGTAGTGGCATTGGACAATAGCCACACAATCCACAAAGCTGTGAACACGAGACTACTCAGAAAATAGATATTCAATATTTAACGCGGAGAAATACCTAACAATGGAGAAGGCGCGAACAATGAATTGAATGGACTGGAGTGGATCGAGTGGCATGGCTCGGCCATGCAGGCGTGGTCCCTGCTGGATATTATCCTATATCTCATTCATATTAAATATATTGTTCTTTCTCTATCCTAACCTTGTTCCTCATCAGGTATTGGTAATTGATACGATACAGTGAGTTGGTGTAGTCAATGGTGTGACTTCCACGTAAGATCTTATAGATTAGGCAGTTATATCATGACGAATCTACAATTTTGGGATTAGGTCTATTATTAGAGCAGTACTAATATCGTAGTAGACCATAATTCCACAGACTCTCAAGATCACTATAGCGTCGGTCTCTTGACATGATGTCAGTCCCGAATTTTTGTATTTCAAATCTCACACAAAAGGGCTTATAAGAATAGGGTAAGACCAACCAGGTAACTCATTATAAACTTAAAACGCGCTTCTACTGTTAACTCACAATTGTTTACTGAGCAACTCAGTAGCAAGCAGTTCGATTTCAACTTTCACTTAACCATCTCTAATGACTCATGCTTGACTACTCCAACTCAGAGTGATCAATTTAAACTCATCATTCCGAAAAAAATTAAAAGAGGAGGTTCACTAAAGGCCGGGTCGCTACCTGATGATGCTTCAGATATTGTGGCTCGTACCGTATATGTCTTATTCAAAAATTGTTCTTCTCCCTTTCATTATCTATACAGAAACATGGGAGGTAAGATTCCAGCGATCAACTGGCCAGTGAGTGAAAACATCTAAGTATAAGTGCTTCGCATGAAGCTGAGCTTATCAATGATGTCAGAGATATGAGAATCTTATCTCAATAACTTTCAGTTGTTTTGCTATTACAGATTCGATACTGTGGATGGTCGCAAGTTCTTTGAACGTCCACATCCATTAGGTCCTGAGAAATCTCATCTTTTAGAATAGTTCACAAAAATTGCAAGTTGTAACAGTTCCGTCCACTGTGTTACATGCTTTTATGTAATCAATGAAGATGATTACGGTGACGAATTTCATTAAATTGGTTACTCCACAATTATTCCGATTGTTGGGATTTGTTCTCGCTACATCATCGACCTCCACAAAGTCTGGTTTGTTGGATGTCCGCTGAACCTCTCATTCAGTTCGCATATGGTGTTGAAATTTTCGCTTTGTGCACAGAAAACTGTGGTTTCCCTGTATTCCCAAATTTTCCATGTCATTGTTTATTCTATATGTTGATAAAGTATTTGGCATTTTTGAGCAAAAAATAGATTTTTACATTATTCCGTGCCTGTTATGAACTTCAGGTACAGTAGGTTCAGTTGTGCTCATTGAGTTTTCTCTGATGTGGATCATACATTTGTAGGTGTTGCTAGTTTGCATTTTAATTCGAATATTTCTGAATATCATTGTATCTACTTTTCTTGTCTGTTGGCACGTGTTATTCCTCCTAATACTTTTCCAAGGGAACATGAAAAATCCTTGCGGTTAATTCTATATCTAAATACAGTGCATCAGATGGTGTTTTGTCTGGTTTCACTACCTCACAATTCTTGGTTTGTATGGTGGACATTTATGTGCTGCTTTGACATTCAGTAGTTCCAGTGAAGCTGGTCTATTCGAGAGCTCTTCTCTGTTCCCCACTCGCCATTTGCACACTTTTCATTCTCAGTGATTGATTCGTATTCATTATTGACGACTGATCGCTCCATTTTACTATATTTCCCAGTTAGCTACTTGATTGTTCCATATATTTCTCTCATATTTCCTCTTGCAGATTCCTCTGTAGCAGTTTGGAGGGCTTTTACATACTTCCATCTATCGGCTTGAATCCTCTTCTTCCTTCGCTTTCATGACTTTGCACATCCTCTGTTCCATAATTTTCCTTGATCTTCAAATTTTGGTAACTAGTGTCGTACTGTCTTTCTTTTTTGAATCTTCGTTAGGCCGCCTTAAGCGATTCAGTTAAAGACGCCACAAGTATTCGGAGTTTGACAACGCCTTAACCTGTAATACCTTTATATTCAAGGTATACCATCACAGTCAAATCAGAAGACAGAAGTGTAGGAGTTCGAAGATATATTGAGAAGGCTCTCAGTATGTCGAGGAATATTTTTATTAGGCTGGCTAACAGTTGAAAGTCATGCGTAATACTGTGTACCCTCTCTGGATCTGGTGCGGAAGCATGACGTTGAGTCCTCAGCAAAAAGATAATCCATTAAAATCAATGCGGTCAGTTTCAGATGTTGAAGACTTACAGAAGTATTGAGGATTTGTTTACCGCTACACGTTATTTATACTAGTGCTTCTTGTAGCCAAACACCGTGGATTATTTTTACCAATTACTCTCCGCACGTTATATTGTTCTATGAAATAATTTGGAACTATGATTGATTTTCTGAGGCTTCTTTAGCCGGAAAGCCATCAGAATGAAGTTTGAAGTGGTCCTTGTTTTAATGCTCTGAGACATGACTACCGAGAGACCTTAAGTACCAAGCTGAACTGAATTCCGAAGTGTGTAACAATTTGGTAAAGTAAGAACGACCTTTGACCTAAAGTTATCGATTTATTGAATGTCTTAATCAATACCACTAAATTCACGGCTTAAGTTATTCGGAAGCTAATTGAGCTAAGGATTTATACACAACTGATCATGGGATTCCAATCGGAGATTTTCGAAGTTTGGGGTAAATGTAAATGATTTTGAGGAAACCGCTGTGACGAACTTCGAGGAAATTTAAGGAAATCGGCACAAATACTCTAAAATCTCTTCAGAACCCTATTGCACTTTGAGGAAATCGGATAATATTTATTAATGGAACCCCAAATTGTTTTACAATTTAGGTGAAATTTCGCGTTTTCCCCAAAATTCCCTCAAACGTGGAAGTTTAGGACATTTGCATATAAAAACAAAAGTCGTTATCGAGGAGAAAAATAAAGTCGACCCCTTACTTGAAACATAAGTGGTGTGAAAACGAGTGCATTGCATTCCATTATGCTTACTAATTAAACGTGTGTGGATACACAAATGTGGGGATGAATTATCCTTATCTGCAAATTAGAGTCTTGACATGTATCTAAATGGTTGCAAAAACAAATAAAATCAAATGACTGATAAGATTAGGTAATAATCTACCATCATTTTTTATTGTTCAACATATAGTTGAAAAATGTTTTGAGATTCATTTTAGCACGGCACTGTACAAAGTGTTAAAGAGGTTTATCGAAGCCTCGATCATACAAAAATTCAAATCCTCTTTGTTTATTCAAAAACATTTTGTTCTTACCTCATACCTACTTCGGTAGTATTAGTTTATTCTCCAGAGTGGTAAGTTACACATTGTTTTTCTTATTATTTTCCTCATTATCTCTGTTTCCTTTTGCCATCCACTTGTTTAGTTGATTTTTATCCCTATGAACGAATGTTTTTAACAAGTTTATGTGTGACCAGATTGTTCGAAGTATATCGCGTGGTTCTTATAATTATCATCTTCGTAGCGCACTATCCAAATATATCAAAGGAAATAATAGCTTTGAATTGCGCAGGTTTTGAGGGTCTCTGAAGCTTCCACTATCAGATTCTAGATTTCAGAACCACATAGCCCTAAACACACTATATTGGTAATGTAAGTCGTTCGTATCTGGTCTCAGTATTGGATATAAGTGCACTTTATGTGTTAACCGAGCCGTCGACCTACCTTCATTCTAATTCTGTTCTCCACCGGATTATCTCACACGCGGCTCCTTACTTTCTGCAGGCACAAAACTTATCGTTAGGCTAGACCCATCTGAAAACTGAAATATATGAAGTGTCACAGATTTCTGTCATTAATATGCGTATGTTTCGCAAGCAAACAAAAAAGTAGGCACAAAGATAAACTCGGAGGAAATAAAGTGTAAAACAGTCACACGCTAATTAAGGATTTAAGGATAAACAGAAAGGCATTTTCGACCTCAAAATAATACGCCAATATAAGTAGTTTTTAGGTATAAACATATTCACTATCAGTGAAGCATGTGATTCTATAATATATTGACATCAACTTTTGAAACATGTGCATTCTCAAGTCTAATATATCAACTTGTAAAATAGGCGCAGTTCTACTTCTGCAAAGTAACCTATGTATGAACCGATAATATTTAGCTTGAAACCCTAGTTTGTGTTAGGCCAAAACAGATTCAGATCTACGTACTGAGGGCAGAAAGTCGACGACCTATGTTAATACTTTTCTATCAAGCTTTACAGTCTGCTCAATGGGGCACCACGGGAATCGACTAGTTTCATTGTGGTTTATTCTGTATCTAAACAAGTTGCGCTGGATCTTCAACATTATTTTATTCTGAAGGACACTATAAATCGGAGGGAAGTAGCATGGGATAGTGGTCCTGACGTCCTTCAAAACTGACATGAGGCAAGATTAATGTCTATCAATGCAGCTGTGCGTAACACTATGGTTGTTGGATATTCAGTTGTCACTAGCTACAGAATTGGTAGGATATTCTTGGGTCCAATCTTAACTGACAATGATCTAGGAGTCATATTAAATGATGACTTAAAGAAAATGATCTATTTTCGCTCATTTGTACCCGAAGTATCTGTAACACTAGGTGTTAATACCAGGCATTATGAAATTTGACAAAAATACAATCACATTCATTTGTATAGCTCTACCAATGTTCAAACTATAAAATGTTTTAAGACAGCAACCAACTGTTTGAAAGATACCATCATTATTTAAAATCATTCATTCGCTGTTAGAACAAGAAATACTCTCAATAAAAGCTATCTGTATCCAGTAATAGCTGAAGGAGCATTAGAAGAATAAAGTTTTTTCGGTTAGGATAAATCGATTGCTATCGCTTTGTAAGATTTTGAAAAGGATGATAAAGCGCGCGAAAAATATGTGGCCCTCAACCAAGTTTCACTAATTCAAATTTAATGTCAGAAAAACTTCAAAACGTGTCAGCGACTTGGTTTCAAACTTTAGACGCTTGAAAAGCCTACTGAATGATTTTAGTTGTAATTATCAAAAATTTCATTCTTAAGACTTAATTTTAATTTTAATGAATAAGAATGAACCTAGAGTTCATCATTTAAGAGTATATCTATAGCCAAACAACATAAAAGAAATTAATAATAATGATTTTGGAGACAAATAACACGAGATTTTCAGAGCTAGTACTAATAGAGGTTCGAGAACATTTCATGCCTTTTAGTTTTTATGTATTCATCAGATAGAATCTTGTCTTTGTGAAAAAAAATCAAGCAGTCATGAATACCAGTATATCCTAATATGCTGAAGTTACTCTGTTTTCAAAAGCACTTACAACCTTAGTTAGAGTGTTACGTTCTGTTATTTTTGTAACAAGTCGAAGATAAATCTCCTTCTTTGTCATATACATAAGACTCAAGTAGTCTTTGTCTCTTTATTAACTCATATTTTTTATTTGATAAACTAATTGACTTCCTAGTTTATTAGCCTGCAAATCAATTGACAGTTGCTGAAAAATCTTTGGTGAACTATTACGAACATGGATTTAGAACGTAGAATACCATGTCAAAGAATGAATTTCATCAAAGAATTGATGCCATTAAGCAGACACATTGAATCTCCAATCTCCAAAAAGGTGCTTGCTGTTTTTGATGCGGCTTTACAAAAAGTATTAACTGTTTTATGTTTACAGAACATAAAGGAAAGTGTTGAGGTATGTCATTTCAATATTAGTTTATAAGAGTCCACAGGTTCAAAATGAAGAAAGCCTACTAGACCGTGTGAGTCTTTACATAAATCAAGCAAAAGAATACGACTTAATAAAAGCTAGTAACCTCAACAGTCCTTATTCGCATAAAATTTTGTCTGAGAACTGTGAGATGCTGAAAAATACGAGTAAGTTACATGCTTGTTCACAACAAAACTTTGTTAGAATCAGAAATAAACGATTCTTTGGTGAGTTCAGAAAATGGTTTTCAAAACATGTAAAATAAATTATCGATGGAAATCTAAAAAAGTAAAAGTATGAAACCTCGTATATCTGTTGATTAATTCTAAAGAGTAAAATGTATTATAGAGTTTTAAAATACCTATCAATATGAATGCAGATTGGATTGGTTTGAGATAGATATTTATATCTTTGATTATGATAATTACTACTTTGGAAGGCTTTACAAAATTTTTTGTATTTAGTTATTATCAAACCTTTCAAGATTCTACTTTTGAAACTTCATTGTCTGGTTAAAAATTCCTCATCGCATTACAAATCACATGTGTAATCTCAGATTCTAACAAAGCTAATCTACTCAGTTTTTGTGAGATTTTGATTGCTTTGAAGCTATGGTAATTCACCTACATAACTCTTGATAGCCAAAGTATGTTTTGCGGCTTAGAACTCTAATAGTAACATGGTAATCCATCTTTACAATGAGTGAGCTCTGTGCTTTGGCTCTTTGTTTAAATATAACAAACACAAGTTTACCTTTGGTTCGAAAAGTGGAGTTCTCACCATGTAGCATATTAAGAAATTACTGAATTGCAGATACCCATATGTTTTTTATATGTTACTATAATTCTCTCCTAATAGACTTCTGTGTAATATAAAACATGATTTTTTAAACAAAAAAAGCATTAGTATGGTAGTTTTCTACATTAGAACTAATTACCACTTATTGTGTCCACTGTAATCGATCGATATAAACGCTGCTCCATCTAAACTGCAGTCACACCTGTTACAACAAAATCCTAACGTGATAAAAAAGAATATGAAGTGTCCCCAATGTAGGGGCTGACTGTTTTGATTAATTTTGCCGGTACCATTGATCAGTTTTGATTATTAAGGGATTTCTTAAAATAAAAGGGCGTTTTATGTTAGCTAATTATCTGAAGTAATTTAACATTCGGACAAAATTTTGAAGTATTTTTGCATCAGTTATTGCTGAAATATAGACCTTTAAAAAAATCTTACTTGGAATCGGCTGATATACATACAGATCAAGTGCTTCAATCACATACTGTATGTTTAACTAGCAAAATAAGTGCGTTTTATCTTTATTCATTAGTCATATTAGTAGCAACAAGTAAAAACGTTTCGTAAATGTAAACAATGCTCCATGTAGTCCCCTATTACGATCACAGTGTTATTCTAACGTATTGGCCAAAAACGTGCATCGCTAAGTGTATTGGCTATAAGTCATTCGAAAATTGTTGAAAAGTTCTTATTACCAAGTTCCAAAGATTTTACAGCTTCAACAAGAGAGTATTTAACAGTTTGTTTACAGTATAAGAATTATTATTTGAATCAAAATGAAGGCCTTTCATTCATATTGACTTTGTTTGAATACCTGGTAGCTTTAATAATCTTTCTCCTCTATACACACTTGAAGGGTAAGAAGTAACCGAAAATGGAAATTTTACAACTATCTTGAGCTATAAGTCCAACAAATCCTAGACTGCTGATGTATTAAATCTTATAAGCTATAAAACTTAAAAAATTTGTTGATATTAGAAACAATTTTGCACATCTTACCAACCAGTAAGTACAAAATTTTTGTAATCAAACTTAACCCTTAAAGCCTCTACAAACGTTAAATCATTATAACACCAGACAGATATCATTGATGGTTACTTGAAGGAATTCGGCCAACAATCCTTTAACCGAAAAAATAAGATGTTTTTAAAATCTGCCTCTAAATGGATTTTAATTTACAAAGTCTTTGTTTTTCATCTTATCTGCTTTCTCAGTGATAAATAAATTGTAATTCATTTATATCAATAATTAAATGAGACTGAATTATTTATAAATCTTTTTCAAATAAGTAGTTATTCACGACTTCAAACAAAAAATTAATTCTACCACTAACTCAGTTGCTTTTAAACTTTATGTAAATAATAAGCTAGAATGAAATCTTCGTAGAAATATTACTAGAACCTGTCAATGAATATTCCTCTATGTCTAAGTGGAAAGAATAACAATTTATGGGATGAATGAAATTTTGTTAACAACAAAAATTATTAACTTCTCGACATTTTCCTCGTTCCACTCACCAAAATGTCGATTCTATAGATAGAATTCTTTTCGGAATTAAAATCATCAATGACTTAAGTTTACAGTTCTTTAATAACGAGACTATAATTTATGGACGAACCAATCAAATTTAAGATAGCAGGTCTTAGATTTTGGCTCGAGATTCATCTACTCATTTGGCTAAATACGATTTCGGCATTATACCTGATATCAGTTCATGATAAAAACATTAAATATAATTTATAAACTTAACGTTCAACTGTAAATCCTAATTCTAGTTCGTCGTACTAATTTATTACCCTCATTTAATCTTAGTAAGCAGATATACATTTTCAAGGTCATCTTAAAGTTGCTCAAAGGTCGTCCATAAATTATAGTCTCACTTATATTTTCTGTTTCCATGCTGCAAATGTATTATTTTATACAACAGATTGGAGATAGTCTAATTATGGGAGAATATTTTAATATTCTTATAGAATACATGCTAAACTATTTTAAAAAAGATTGTTTTTCAACGAAATATTTATTTTTTACCTTTAAATCTTATGAGTTCCTGTCAAAAAAGATAAGTATATGAAGCTTCTTGGAATCAATCAATATGAGGTTGACACTAACCATTGCATAATTAGTAGTCAATTGATCAATTATATCATAAATTTCCTCAAAACGTTTATTGAAAAGTTACTTATTAGCTAAACATTTTGACAATACCAAAATCAGAAAACCATACTTCAATAACACATAGACGCCAACAAATATGGAAAGAGATTAGAAATTCGTATCTTACATATACAATTTTATTAGTTTGGCATTTCATTGTAATAAATAGTTTGAATGTTAACCTCTCATTATCATATCAAACAGCGTCCTTGAAGTATGTTTCTAAAAGGCATTACTTTTATTCACAAGTAGTCATAGTAATACGATAGATCTTAAGTTTGATTGGTCGTTCAGTAAGTTGATGTAATTGATTAGTTTCCTTCGTCAATTCAATTGTTTGACGAAATGTTCCCAACTCATTCTATATCTAATTATTAATACTGTACACTAAAACTTATTGTCTTTCACAATATTTCAGGAACATAATATAAATGAAGAGTTCGAGAATAATGTTCGAAATTTTTTACATTTTATGTCATCACAACCTTTAATTAATCAAGTACTATCTGGATTCCTATTAGATAATAATGAACAATTATGTAATAAATGGAAATTACCAGAAACAATTACTAATCATATAACTAATGTTAAATGGATTCAGATACCACAATTTTCTCAAAATAATAAAACAAAATTAGTAGAATATTTAATACACTTAAGAATATTATTATTAATAAAATTATTAACTACACCAGAAGATAAAAAACGTAAAAAATTATACATAAAAGAACTTGAAACTAGAGATCAAGAATGTCAAACAAAGTTGACTGAACTTATTAAAGAATTGGATATACAAATTTGTCAGAATAATGCAGAAGTAAGTATAAATGATGATATAAATATAGTTGAATATTTAAGAGTAATAATAGAATATAGTTTTTGTTAAGATACTAAATGATCTTGGTTTTTGATGCATACCACATCTCTAAATAAATAAGATATACTTTTTATATATATATATACATATCGTAATTCAATAAAGAGATATATAATTAGGTCTAAGCTTGGCAATGTGAGGACAGTCCATGAGTTCTAAGAAACTTGGAAAGAGCTGAAGATTTTCCATCCAATCATCTTTCGGAAGAATATTACAAAATCTTTATGTGTTACTTCCCTATTGAATAAATGCTAAAACCCCCTGTATATGGATAGAATGACTATAATGATGGTTTCGTTTTTACTACAAAACTTTAATTACCTGATAGTTTTGTACCATATTTGACACTGTTTGAAATAGCATTCCTTTCACTTGTATTCTGTCTTCTCATTTGCGACTTGGAGAGTTCGAGAGCTAAAGTTGTACATGTTATAATAAGAATCTAAGCTATAGATATAACAGGCAAAAGTGTACATCATTTGAGGTTTTCACTCTTAAAACTAGCAATATGAGATGAGTAATAGTAACAGTACCATTGACAACTGAAGAATATATATATATAATTCGAGAAACATGTACAGTGATAAAGCATATTTAAAATAACAATTTTTTATGGATGAAGGAAATGAGAATGAAATTGTTTGCACAATTCCAGCTGATTTCAATTCGGAATTGAGAGAAGAATGTTTATGGTTAAAATCAGTTTTACAATTGTGAAGAATAATGCACTTGATAGAAAGATAATGATAATGTAAATAAAACACTTTAAATTAAAGTGATTATAATTAAGTCTGAGAAATGATCAATGGGATAACTTAAGCTACATTGAAACTGTTCAATCTTGATTTAAACGACTATGTATCGGAGTTTCCAGTTGGATATTGGTAAATCCTATTTACTAACGATGAACGATTCATACAATACAAACGCCTTAAATAAAAAACAGGATAAACTGAATGTTTGACACACAATAACTCTTGAACTCTAATGATACACAAGTAAATAGAATATTGAGAAGTCAAGACTTTCAAGGTAGCTCTTTATTCCTAACAGACGTCCAAAATTGAAACGAAACAACTCTGTCTATTTAGTAACATCCAACTACCTTGAAGAATATAAACTAAGCGAACCAGAAGCGACAACAATCAATCAGACAATAGCAAGGTTCGCACTAGAAATATGAATTTAAAAAACATCATCGAGTTTATGTTTTCAAGAATAAACTGAAATGTAGTAACAAAAACTAAATAACCTGAGCTCACCTTGGCAACAAACTAATTAAATTGAGGCTAGAAAACTTTTATTACAATCACTTATGGTCTAAGGTGGTACTTATTGAAATCACTCACTATCTGTCACATAGAATTCACTAAGCATGCAAAATAGCCTACCTACCTAACTATTAGATAATATTAAAGGTCTAAGAAGTACATAGAAAATGTTCCCATTCAAATTTCTTTATTATCAAGTGTTAGTCAAATAAAAGAAAACAATGTTAGAGAAATTATAAAAGTTGTTGTAGATTTTAACCATAAAATCATACTCATATAATGCAGTAGTTATCGCGTATTCATTGTTCTCTAATAATAACTAAGCATTGGTCATCAGTAACTGTTTATAAATGAATCAAAAATCAATAGTCTTTTGTCTTTTCTTATAGATTAGAATAATGCATGACACCAGTTATTTTCTACTTAGAATTTTGCATTAGGTCTGATAATATCTATCAAAATAATCTATCTTGTACCAGAAAAGTATTAATATAATATAACTACATCACTTACAAGATTGTTCATTTCATATGTTTTCTTATCAAAAAGTGTTTTGTTGCAAAAATCTTAGTACAAACGAAAAACAATTTACATTGTTTCCATTTCAGACTAGGAAAATTGGTTATACTGTTTCAAAACTTAAAAATCAAATTGATAATCTTGAAAGATATTTAACTGAACGAAAAAAGCAAATTAACACTGAAGAAGCGAAAAAGATAACAGAAATCACAAAACAAAACGATGGTAAGTTAAGTGAACAGTTATTACTTAGGGTTCTTATTCTTAAAATATAATACTTCATTATTATTGAGGATAATGTATTATTGAGACTTGGTTTGAGGTGTTATATCCGAGCGAAGATTAAATGACGAGTAACTTCCGAGACATATTAATTAACTAATATTATTTATACATTTTTATGGTATAACTATTCAATAATTAGATTATGTATATTTATATTCCTCTTATTCTAAGCTTTATTTTGACCTATAATTTATTATTGTACGACTTACCGTTCTTAAGCTATGTTCAGTTTATTGAATACTGCCCCCCACGTTCACAGTCACTGTTTGGCTTTATTGTGCACAAATGTTATTTCCTATTTTATGGTACGTTGCGGTCTGTTCGGTTGATATATAAACTCAGTATGTTTGAAATAAATTATTCGATTCGCCTATTGGAAGATGGTATTGGTGTTCTGAGCTCAAGTGGACGGGCTAGGAGGACATAGGACCAATAAGGACGTTAGGCTGCTCAAAGCGGTTGATCGTGATTGGTTTGGCACAGCGCTAAAATTGCATAAGTCGTATTTTGATTGGCGGATAAATCACGTGATAAAAAGCCGGACATAAAGTCATAACATGAGGAACAGTAGACATTTTTACCCCAGATTCACAATTCTTAACAATACAGAAAACACCAAGACCCCCAAATCAAATGGTTGAGTATAATATTCAGAAGCCGAGTTGTAATCTAAACTGCACCTATCGAAGTATGAATATATTAATAATCTAAACGATAATTAAATTTAAGGAAACTGAGTTAACAAAATAGTAGACTCATTTTAGAGATGCTTTTATCAGTGGTTTAAACACTTTCATTAATGACCTGCAGTAATAGTCATACAACTGTAACAGTTACTCCATATTCTTGGAGTAGGAATAGGTTAGAAAACTAGGGGCATCCAAACTATGACATAGATGGCATCAATGCATAAAGTCATTGATTAGAAGAATGAACTATGGAGGAAGGTGCAAACTAACTGGTTGAAGTCTATGCAATTATCGTAACCTATGGTTGCAGCCTTTGATTGACATGTCTCAAAACCGTTCGTAATGGCACAGGTGAATTCACTCTTTGTTTACCCTTAGATCTTAAGTTTTTAAATTGCCTTACAGATTCTGTTATTCCATTGATATGAACTTCCTTATTGAACCATATATTCAATTTTTTCTCTTTTCTATTACCACTAATGACGTGACTACTTTTAATACTCTGATTTATTTCAAATATTTCATTTTGCTATACTAGTGGGGTGTGGCACATATCCCAGGTTCTACCATGGTTTATAACTGACCGAAATTCTACGTTTTTACTGACTGACTGATCACAATCGTTGACTTTGTTAATCTCATCTCAACAGGTAGTATGATAACTAGAGATTACGGGCATTTGTGCCAGGTTCTATACTCATTATGTCCAACTGAATATCGATTTTTATAAATATTATTTGATAGTGTTTTAGATTTTCATTTTATTTCTGACGAATAATACTTTGATCGTCAAAGTCTATGGAGATTACAAAGATAAATCATTTTTTATTCCAATGATATATTGTGTTTATAAATTTGTAAATTGACTGCACAGTTAAACAAACCAACTCGAAACTATGACTAATATTCACTTAGTTGATATTCTATGATATGTTGTGTATGAAAGTACTGCGTAACCTTATAGTCGGTTGGTACTTATCAAAGTACGATTTTGAATGAGTGAAGTAGTTACTTGATATACATTTGAGATCGTTAACATGAGGTAGAGCAACTTACTAATTAGACTAGTGTATTCTTTCATACATTAGTCTATACTTCTTTAAGCTATCAACATTTAATGAAGTCTAATAGGCAATTAATTGTTAGATAGATTTCACTGAAATCATGAATCGATATAAATCAGGTCACCAGTCAAAGCCTGGAGGCATTGGAAAACTTTTGTCCTGGCGTTGGACTTCTCAGCAGTGCGCATCCACGATCTCGCACGCATGATAATTTCTAGACCGCTGAGCCGACATCCAATTGTGTTAATGTCTAACTTCAATCAATCTACAACATTGTGCAACCATCTTCCATTGTCTCCGGTGAGTACATCTCCAGTTCCACTAGTCATGGTTTCGTGGTAAAACTTCGAGAATTTCCTCTCGAAGCTGGCCACTAGTGAACACAGAGTTTGTGTGAGGTGAAGACAGTAGATGGTTAATTTATCCACCTTTCAGCTAATTATGTCACAGTTCCATCAGTAACTTTGTAAAATAAGAAAACCATACATTAAATACGTCATTTGCATATCTCCCTTCATTTATCCTTTACATACTTTATCATTCTTTCGATCCTGTCGTTATTTTTATTGCTCTTCGTTTTCCTTCCTCCTCACTTTGTTTCACTTCTGCTGATTGGTATTTTACCTCCAATTCCTGCTACATACTACTCAATTCTGTCCCCGTAAGTAATGTACACTAAAGTATCACTAATTATCAAAAAACAATTCATAAATTTGTACTTGGTAAATGAATTGACTACGTTAAAGAAATGATGTAAGTTATCGCTCATCAATTGCGAAAATGGTTGTTCTTTTGTGATTCAAAATTCGTTCCATACCTGTTACCCATATATTTGGGTTTATTGAATCCTATTAATAAAGGTATTTAAGACTTGATTCTTACTGTAATTTCTTTCAAACGTTTTATTGATGAGCTCACAATCATATTTCGCTCCTAATTATGATAGTATTTTGGAAGTAAGAGACTACTTTCAGATGTATCATTTAAACGAATGAATAGCAAAACTCCTACTCGGTTGAGATGAAAACTGTGCCATAAACAATCAAATGACAGTATTTTCCAAAATATATATTTTGGATAGTGATCAAAAGTAGAATCTACAGCTCATGTTTCGTCGCCTTTAAAACTCATCAACTGGATTAAGTTGAGTAATAGGGAGTTGATGTTCACAGTCTGTGTATACAAACAAGTTGGTTCACATTGTGAATTTGTTTTAAATAATATGTTCTCATATATTTAAATCCTTATTAGCTACAATACAATAAATATTTCATACAATTTAATACTTTCTCTACATAGAAAATGAAAATAATTTAAGTAAAGAAATGAAAAGTCAAGAAATACTACTTGAAAAGTTGATTGAGACTAATCGTTCTGAAGAGGAAACAATTCGAGCAACCATTTATAAAATGGAAAGTGATATTGAGTCGAAGATTTCTAAATATGATCAAGAAATGACAGCCTTACAGGTATTAATGTTAAACTATGAGTTGTTTTTTTGTTGTTGGATATAATACCATTTTATCGAGCTAAACCTACCAACCAAAAACTACATCTGAAGACTCTAATTCTAAGTAGGTTAAAATGTCAGCGACCGAAATTTAAATAATTCCAACGCTTCGTCCAGCAAACTTGTCTGAACATCTTCAGGTTAATAATCGAATTCATGATCATCAAAGAATAAGATAGCATTTATCTGACTCACGTTATCCTATTTACTAAAGTCATCATCTTAGTATGATTGGATTAGCACAGTATATATTCGATTTGATTGATAAACGCTATATATTTCTTTGATGATCATGACTTCGATTACTAACCTGAAGATGTTCAGACAAGTTTGCTGGACGGAACGTTAGAATTATTTAAATTTCAATCGCTGAGATTATTTCAAATATAGTTTTCACATATAATGACTTCTCTATACTCATTTGGCCATAGTCAATAGGTGAACATTCTAAGGGTCATCTCTGCGTCGCTCAAAGGTCATACATAAATTATAGTCTCACCGAAATTTCGTCACAGCAACCTTGTGATCCGTAACAATCCAAAGGATAAACTCCCTCTAATGACCGATTTCATATGAATTTATGAATTTAAATGTTCATGTGGAACTAGGTATACAAGTCGTTCGATGCGTATTTTATTTAGAGGGATTCAAGAACATTACCAGGTTTATCTGAAAAGAGGCGGAAAAACATAAATAAGAAACTGTACTAACGAACACCTTGTGAACACAAGTCATTTAATCAAAACGGATTCAGGGTTCAAAGTCATCTACAAGGTAAGTAGAAAGCTTCCAATGACAATGTGCTGCTGTCTTAGCATTTGCTGTACATTTTGAAAAACCAGAATTATGTGTAAAAAAGAAACTGATACAACCTCTTCTTCCATCGTGATATTAATCTCTTGTGTTTTTTTGCTATTCTTCTTTCACAGCCATCATTTCATCTTACTATTTTGAGCATTTCCTTTGCAGTCATAATTGTTTATTTATTTTGAAAATGAATATTCAAGCCCTCAACAACAAAATTTTTAACAGTTTCCTTAAGAAATATAACGTTTTTATGCCTTAATTTATTTTACAGCACCGTTACCATGTTTCGTAAAAATTTTATTATCACCACGATTGCCATTATTATCGTTTGGAAAAATAAGTTTATATTTGAGATTGTACAGCTTTAAAAATGAACTCACCGAAAAGAGAACTCTCCTATGAACCAATATCTTCCTTATTTTTTTTTCATCTCAACAGCAATATTCTGTTTACTTAGGAATATGAATGAATCATAAATAGCTGACTGAAAATTAATCATAGTTTTCCTAACGGATGATATTTTAATCTCTGATTGTTTAATAATTATAGGCAAAAGTTTGTTTTTACGCATAAACACTATTTTACCACTGATTAAACACTTATTTTGTCTCCATTTATGTTGATTTTGCACTTTATCGTGTTAAAAGTCTATCAAGAAGAACCTCTGAGTATTTGTTAATTCAGTAAAAGATAACGGGATCAACTGGCTTTTCGTAAAATTATAGTTTAAGTTCCCAACAGATATCACTACTGCCTTTAAGGTACATTCAAACTCAGGTCAAATTACCTCGGAATGAGCATATTCTTTTAGCTTTTCTACATATCTTGTTAATCCTCCCTTAAGTATATTCTCGAGCCATCTATCATTAAAACATGTTACAATACACTTTGTCGTTTTAATTTTCTACATTCGGTTAACAACAGACAAACATCTCTTACTGAAGTATGATGAGAGTTTGTATTATGTACTTCAGAACGACTTGATAGTGCTCGTTATAATTTGAATTTCAAACCTTTGGCTTTATAAAATAGGAATTTATGGTATCTTTTAACTCGTAATGAAATGTTATAGTTACGACGAAGCTTAATTGTTTCATAAAACTAAACAACATTGAAAGTAACGAAAGTTTCTTCTAGGCTAAATTTGTACTATTAGTCACTTATCGCTAAATTTTACCCATACTAGTTAAATTGGTCAACGTTTTCTAGTATGAGTAAACATAACCTCATAGAAGAGGCCAAATCCTCTTTAGCGTTTAATAATCACTCTCTGACTGTGACAATTTTGTCGGTAATACAGAACTTATAAATATTGATTAATAACGCTCATTTATCAATTCCAAATTTATATTCACAGTTTAGAGTTTAACTCTAGATATGCGAGTAAATAGCTACTACTTAAATGCCTGAATCAAACTAAATCCGTGAACTGGGATTCAATTGTGAGACTTAATAGTTTAATATTCAGACCTTTATTCACTAAATCACAGCTCCACCTGTAATACATCACTTTAGGAAAATAGAACTTTTACATCTGTATATTTTGAATGAAAAACAATTTATTGTATTGCAGGATGAATATGATGCCCTGGAAGCGGAGTATACAGAGGAGAAAAGCGCTTACGATGAATTGAATGAACGTTTTCAGGTAGGACAAAATTGTCTACTAGATATGAAATTTAATGTGTTTAAATGATATACATTATAATCAGCACTTTAAAGGACACACAACGAAGTGTGTTAATAAGATTTTGTATTGCTCTATAATATCAGGATTGATAGGCATGTTAGAGATTGAGAAAAGTGTATCTACAAATGAAATACGTTCGCATAGTACTACTTTAACTTTACAATTTAATACAAAGGTAATCTAACAAAAGTGAGAGGAATTTCATTTAATAACCCGATAAAACAAATATTTAGTGAGTAACTAATTGTTCCTATATACCTGTACACATAAGAGGCACTGAAATCATATTAATTAGACTAATTTGCCTACATTTATTATGTGAAGACTTTCTAATTTTTTCATAGATTAGGATGGTTATCAATTTATATCTGAAATCTGCTACTCATGGAAGATGTGAAATCTTCGGTAACCTAACTATCATCGGTAATCGTATACTTTGAATTATAGTGAAAACTATATATCAGACAAGTCTTTTTATTGCCTTCCCTGCTTTTAACCAAAGTGGAGAGAATAATATATACTATCAAGCTGCAGATGAATAGTAGGGAAGTTGATTCATTAAAAATCAAGCCTAAAAATCAACATCTACGTTAATACTATTCAGATCACTGGAACTATCTGTAAACGAAGATTTGCTAAGCAATATTCATTGAAATACAGAGCTTCCTATGTAGTTCATATTTGGATTAGCTAGTCATTAAGATGTTCGTTTGTAGCTGACTTGAAGTACAAATCAAACCAAACTACTGTACAATTTTGAACAATATGTCCAAATAAGAAATCTCTTACCCGTCTCTTAAAATGATAGTTATACTAACAAATATTTACTTCAACGTAGTCTTAGTGAAAAAAAAGTTTATACACTAACTAATAACTAATAGTTATCGGTGCATTTTTGACCTTGCTCGTTCCACATCATTCTTGAATGTTCACTGATTTTTTTAGTAAATTTGTATTCCGGCAACTTCTACTCTCCATTGAATTCTGACGCAGGTAATATGCTAATTATTTAAGAAGATTCTAAAATGTTCTAGGTATATATGGAGTTCAGCTATTAAGTTTCTGTAACATTTTTTGTGCAACTAACTGGAAAAAACTATACATTTTTGATAAGTCTTGTTAATTTGAACGCTTTATTCGGTTCCTAAGCTATTCTGGTCACCCACAAGATAGAACTACGCAGCGAATTGAACTCGAGAGAAAAAGCGCAACACTTCACTCCAAAGGTTTCTTTTTGTACAGAAAAACGCGGGTATTTATAGATGTTAACATTTGTTAAATCAACATCATATTTTGGCCAATCCGCTAAAAGACATACTGTGCTACTGACCAGTAGTAGCACGCCAAGTTGATATTCGAGAAAGCTCCATCAGACTCTGATTGGCTGGGACTCTGGCTTCTTTAGGGCCTCTGGAGGCTCCATTGCAGTTCTCGGAAAGCCGACTCAACACTTTTTTAATAGGACTTTTATGATAATTATTTAATAACTGCCGAAGCGATTCATTCTCGTGAAAGTAGCTGATGTTAATTTTCCCAGGTCCAATAATCAAAGTCCTCGAAGTACTGCTTAGTGGTTGAAAGAGCTCATAATTATACGATTTAAAACAGAAAGCTTTTTACAGAGAATTTTCTTCATCAAAATCTGATGCCAACACTATATGAATTAATAGCTGGATCGACGTTTATAGCATCCGACCAAATTCTCAGACTATGTTTAGGGTTAAGAACAGCCAAATTAAGTGGCTGACCTGGTAAAAATCGATGACTCGTCTTCGGCATCAGATTTCATCAGTGTAAACTTGTAGGCAGTCTCTGGATTCCCGGTGAGAAGCCATGGCCAGTGAAGTTTAACGGTGTCGTATGAGACAGTTACTAACCGCAGGCAATGAAAGATGGTCACGCAGTCTCATGAATTGATCGAAGTTAAACATGTAGAACATTAGATGCCTGTTCTAAATGGTCTTAAACGTCAAGCGTTCGCACGCGAGACCAAAGGTCCTGGCTTCGATCCCCAGTAGTAGATTGGTGAATGTTGACTACTAAGGAGTCCAACGCTAAGAAGAAATAGTTTTCCAGTGTTTTTTAGTCTTCAATAGCTGTCTATCTATGATCAGTTTGTGAGTTAATTATAAAAATCCCACAATATCTACAAACGACATACAAAAATCAATTTCTGCAGTTGGAATATTCGGCTTTCCTGACAACATACCATTTTTTGCATAATCTATGCTATGAACAGTGTTCTTCCATTATTGTTAATGAACTTAAACTGAGAAATGATTACTCAGAATTTGATACAGTTTATTAGTTTGATTATCAGCTTCAACATGAGCGCAGTTTTCTGTGAAACTGATAGATTTTATGTAGTGTTAATTAGGAGATTAAAAGTTAGGATTGATAGAATATTTATCTGGAGCAATTTTCCACTTAATGACCTAAAATATTTATAACCTATCACCATAGATCTGTGTTTTAAGTTGGCCTCATCGACGGAGAATTATTGATGCCTTACTATTTTGTACTTCATGGATAGTTTACTAATCTTCAGACATTTATCTTATAACTTTGTACAATTCATTCATCTCGTATTTATAAAAGTTTAAGAATTTGACTTGATGAACATTTCCTGAAGTAAAATTCTCCACTTTCAGAATTTAATTGATCTAACAAAACTTAACCACAATAAAATGTAGACCGTAATACACTAGTACGAAAAAAATCATAGTCCATTAACCATATATAGGCAAGTAACTAGCTATTGTTCAGTGTGATATCATACATTTCGCCACAAAATGCTTACTACTTGGAAAAATGTCAAGTATCAAAAGATATTTTAAATCATTAATAATAACCATCTAATTAATTAAGGTTCTTTGGATTTAGATTATAAATGAAGAGTATCAAAAGATAATGGAAGAACGTAGGCTAGAGGATGAAAGACGGCAAAGAGAGGAAGAACGAAGACGCCAAATGGAACAAGCCGTTATAACAATACAAGCATTTTGGAGGTCATATAAAACAAGAAAACTGGCACGTGGAAGAAAAGGAGGTAGTAGAAAAGCGAAGAAGTAATTCATAAAACAGAGTCAAAACACTATTCAACTGGGATTAAAAAGGTAAACATGAAAACTTATTTAGAACCTGACTATTTAACACTAAATACATTCATTAAATCACGAGCCCATGAATGAAAAGACTTGTATGTTCTCAATTACATGTTAGTCACGTGATTCGTAAAAATTAAAATGTGTAAAACATCAAATCTTTGATGAATCTATATGGTATTTACCCATATTTAATTAATTAATTACCTTTCATGTTATTCATCAATGTTTATTTTATATAACAGTAATAAACAACATATTGTTGAACATTTGGATACATTTCTTTATTTAAATTTTGTGTAATCAACCCTGAGTCACATCATGTGTATCCATGCTACCGATACTATTGGACAGCCTAGGTCAAAATAGATGTAACTGTTTCGATAGTGTCGTTTAAATTCAAATTCGGTAACTTTATGGGTTACTGTAAATCAACATGCAGCTAATATGATATTACAAATGATAATACCTGTAAAAAGAAACGAAATTATACACGTTCATATTGTAAAGAAATAAAGGAATGTGAGTATAATAAGAGAGAACAAAAATGGATAGAAATTAGTATATGACAGTGAAAATAATCATAATAATATTGTTCGCAACGGGGACAGTCGAGTTTGTGATGATAGACTGATATTTTTCAAATTAACTATTTACTATATGGTACTCAGATTTTATTGAGATGCTCTGTAATTTAGTGTCAAATACATTCGATTGTCCCCAGTGGTGTTTTGTTCACTAAACTATCAGAAAGGATCGGTTCCAGTCAAAGAAGTTCCTCTCACCATTATGAAGCAAAAAAAGTTACAATAGGATTTCCACTGCCTTTGATTTTGAGTCGTCTGATAATGTCTCAAGACATTGAGTTGCACTATTTCTAGGGCCCCTACCAAGGAGACGTGAAGGACCAACAGATGCCAGTCCTGTACACCTTTCTTTCGTACCATAACACTATATCCTACGCTGACCACCTCTCCGCTTTTTCCAACCAGTCCCAGAGTCGGCAAATAATGCACGATGTGGAATTCTCTGGAACGACATTAGTAAGACATGTCCAAGCCAATGAAGTCGGTGTTCCAATACAGTGATACCGATTGGATTATCGTCACTGTGCCCGAACACTCGATGCCGAACCTCTGCATTACTGACATGGTGTTGCTACTGGATCTCAGCAATCCTTCGGAAACAACGATGATCGAACACAGAGAGTCGTCTAACATCCTGAACTCAGAGAGACCAGGTCGCACAAGCATAGAGTAAAATTGCTCTCACCGACGCGTTGTAGATCCGACCTTTTACAACCAGACTAACATCACGAAGGCGCCAAAGGTGGCCCAGATTGGCATAAGCCACTATGGCTTTCACTATATGTGCATTGATCTCATCACTCACGCCAACACCAGCATTTATGTAGCTACCCAGATACACGAACTTCTCGACTACTTCTATCTACTCACTACCCAGGGTGAGTACAGGATTAGAACCCTTCCAGTCTTGTAGAAGTACTTTGCACTTCGAAGGTGCAGAGCACATGTCATACCTACGGACATTGATTGCCAACTGATTAAGTGGCTTGGGTATTATTGCACAGTAGGACAATATCATCCGCACACTCAAGGTCGAAAAGTCTTTCTCCAGGTAACAGATCCACACCATTATTACTCACATCCATCAGAGCTGTTCCCAGAATGTCATCGATAGCAAAGTTGAAGAGAAACGGTGAAGTGGAGCAGCCCTGTCGTCTAACCCTACTGCTTCAATGGAACAGTGGAGAGAGGTGGTTATATGTCCTCACTCTGCCTGAGATGTTTGTATATCGGGTTTTTAAGATGTTGGTCAACTTCTCAGGCACACGCTTCCTCAATAGACAATCCCAGAAAACAGTGCGGCCCAATGAATTAGACGCAACCCTAATGTCAAGAAGCACTACAATTGTTGGCCTGTGATAAATATGACGGTGTTCTGACATTTGGTGGAGGAAGGAGATATGCTCAATGCATCCTCGACCGGAATGGAAACCAGCCTGATCCTCGCGAGTCAATCTTTCTTAGGTTTTGAACAATCTATGAGGTTTGACGAAAGCCAATAGTTTGGACGTAATCATAAGTGGACTTATTCTCCGATAGTTGTTACGGGGACGACGTGAACCCTTTTTAAAGATAGGGACAACTATCGACTCACTCTATGACGTTGGTACACTCTCTACCTCCCAGACCTTTGTAAACAACGTCGTCAGTTCTTTAGTCAGAAAGCCACCACCATCTTTAAAAGGAGCCAGGTGATTTGTAGCGCTTCAAGAGTTGGAGTTCCTTGCGAACTTCCGCCTCATTCGGTGGATCAGTCGTCACCCGCCATGGTAGGCACGGCAGTCTGATAGATGTTGACGGAGCAGCAGGCCAGTTGAATTGCCCTTCGAAAAATTCTGCCCATCGTCCAAGACGTCGGCAGGTGTTATTGATTGGCATCCCGTTAGCCTCACAGATTGTTTCACGCCAGATATCATACAGCCAGTGACCCTGGTGAATTGAAAGTGCTCTCACTACCACGGTTTTTGGTCCTTACTCAAGCTTGGAACAATTACATTACGTAACAATCTTCGTTTGTGGTCAGACTAGTGGTCAGTTGAACTACACCGACACGCTTCAATAAGCTACAATGAGCCTGTAAAAACCCAATGATTGTAAGCGAGATTTTTCGCGAAACCGCGAGACTTAACTCGCAATTTTCTTGTCTTCATGCGACTGCAGTCAATGCTCATCTATACCTTTCAGTGGGATGGTAGTTAACCTTGAACCTAGCTCGGTTTGATATTTAGTTGCAACAGAAGCTGCAACCAATTCGATGACGTCGATCCATATAGGACGATAAATTGCTGGCCACTGAAACGTAAAGTAAAATGAGCTCAAACAAGGGCATGATCAGAGTCCAAATATGTACTCCAAAAGGAGCGACAGTCTTGTACACATCCACGCCAGCGGTAACTGACCGTGATGTAATCAGTCCAGGCTTGAAATGTAGAGGGAGGACGCCAGGTAGCACATCGGCGATTACTGTACCGGTAGTTAGTGCTAGCCAGAAACATGTTGTAATATGCGCAAAGTTGCAGTAAACGGTCACAGTTATCTGACCTGCGAGCAACAAGTCCCACCGGCCGTCTGAACGATTCTTTTCTGTCAGTGCTGCCTCAGCTCTAGCGCTTAGTGAGACACCAACAAAACCAGAGGACTTGCCAGTGTCTTCGGATAAACGCACGTGAAACAAGCCCTTAGAAGTGACCGATGGAGAGCGAATTTGTAGTATTTCACTAGTCTTGAATACGGGTCTCGGATAGACATCGATACTAAGGCTTTCGGTTATCCTCACCTGTGTTCTCCTTCACTACAATACTACCTGGGTGTCCAAACCGAAGCAGGTGGTTTTCTTAGGGGACCATAACCAAAACCTTTGACCTAGAGGTCTAATTCACAAAACGGTGAAGGGACGATAGAAGATGCAGTCCTATGGTAGCCGATGATCAACAATGGGTTCGTAAGCCATTTGTTCCCTCAGAATGATGGAGTCCATGTCCACCATTGGTTTTAAACCAAGATTTTTCAACTCCCCTAGGTGGATCTTCCGTACCCATTAAGAACAGTTAAAAACAGTTTCAAACGCCCAGCGAAAAGTTTAATTTCGAAATATACCGCAATTTCATTACCAATTCGCAATGTTTACTACCCCAGTGGTGTCTATTTTTAACAGCGAAGTTTTTTAGAGAGATGTTTGTGGATGTTGGATTCCCAACCGAATAAGAGATTATTTGATTAGGTAAGTGAAACGTTCTCTCATTACATTATCCATGATAGCCATAACAAAAAGAACTTTTACGTGAAATACATGTGCAGTATGAAAATCCATCCACAGTGACCGATAAAATACTCATCAGCACGAGAAAGGTTTCACAAAATATACTTCATTTAATGGTTCAAAAAACCATTAGCTGTGGATCTTTCGTTCATGCTTAGATGATAGATGGATTTTATCCAGCCAAAAGGTGGCCGACGGATCATGAGCGGTCGTACGTTATTTTTGTGTTATGTAAAATATTATTAACGGTGCAGTCACACATTTTGCAATCTAGACGGAAAAGTCTACATACTTACTTTTGTACTAAATGTATATCATTTATAAGATACTAAAGATCCAGTTGACTCATGCAATTATTAGTACGAGATTCCACAATAGTGACATTTAGAATATGCATCTTCTCGGTTATTATGATAAATTTTCGTAGACAAATCAACTCATTAAAAAATGGAAAATTGATATATTTTTATAAAATCACTTGTTGAAATACTTGTTGAAAGTAGACTCTTCGTGGCGGGGTTAAGACTGCGTTTCTGATTATTCATAGAACGAAAGAAGTGATGAGTAAGTAGTAACATTAAATCGAACAAACTTCACGCCCTTAGAAATTCCATTCATCTGTATTAATATGCTCAATTACTGAAGTAAATAGTTTTCCATATGTAATGATGGCCTACTATGCATGTGATTCTATCACTCGTCACTTTGTGAATTATATATAAACCCATTAAAAGATTCACGCTTCGAGTAGGCTGATAACTATCATCCCAAATTCGTTAATTTTATTTACATTTACGGTTTGTCTGCTCATATACCAATACCTGAAATAAATTCTCACAATAGATCTCATATTTGACATTTCGCTACCACCATTGCACAATGGGGTTAACTCAAGTATGATATACGTAACTAAATGGGGAATTATATTTCAATATCGTCTTCATCAAGGAGCTACATAGGAAAACTGAAACCTTCAAATGGAAAAACGTAAGTTAGGATTCCAAGACATTACCAATGAAGAAAGATTAAAGTTATTAACCCGCTTCACAAACTTCAGTACTGAATGAATAACTGAATATCCAGACTGCAAAGTGTCAGGAGGACATCACAACTAAAAAGTAAAGATAAGTAACTTACGATAATTTAGAATGAGACATGTTAAATCCCCGTCTGTGTAGAGAAAACAATGAAAACCTTGTATCAGTAAAATCATTTTATGTACATTATAGTATGTATACAACTTAAGTTGTATTAGTTAAACTGTTCTACATTAACTGCCACTTAGATGGAACAATTGTTTTAACTGGTTCTTCACTCTTGTTTAAATCTCCCAAAGACTCAAGTTTCTTCTTTTGAAACTCTTCATAGTCGTGCTGCCAATAAGCTTTGTTTTGTGGATGCACCATTCTCGAGTAATATGGATCCCATACCATACCTTGACGGATTTTTGAAAGAATCTGTAACAAAGGAATGAAAATCATCAGTAAGACATGTCATTAAATATAGTACTAATATCGAAGTCGAAAAGATTATAAAACCTACTTAATGCATGTGATAACGGCAAACAAATGTGAATTTGGATCCTGTTATGTTAACAGTCGTACAAATAAACTGCTCACGCACATATTTTTAGGCGAGTTTCGCCAGTTTTACTCAGAACAAAACATTTGCATTACAACGATTTAAAAAAATAAATGAGGAAAAAATATACATTTAAAGTGTTAGTAAAATAAAATTAAACCTACTTGATAACGACTTTTTAGTTTATATGAACCTGCTCTAGGTCTAAGTGAATACGGATAAGAGATGTTATCCCAGTCGGGTGTAGTACGAAGTGTTTCAATAAGGCTCGGATACATAGCACGTTTTTCTTCATCTGACATACTGTCATAATCTATCCCAATGGCATCCAACTCTTCAATAGGTGGTGTCTCCTTCAGTTGTATACCACCATTCAACAAGGACTCGTAGAAAGCTCTAGTCTATTTTTATCTAAAATATGAACGACAGAGAACATACGCTTTCGTTTTCTTTATATATCTCGCTCGTTTCTGAAAATAACTCCGTGAGACCACATTGATGGCATCTTAAGGCCAACACTCTTCCAACATTTTCTGCAGCTGAAACATCAATACAACTAAAAGATGTAGCATTTTCAAAAATAATACCTATATAAATGTTTTCTGATGCTAACTTCTTTAGTTGAAGCAGAGATCAGCACTTTTGAAGAAGCATGAACAACAAGACCTGTTGTATTATGAGGTTCTCTATTTAAGACTACTCTGGATTAATATAAAGTAAAATATATCAATAAAAATTACTTATTCCAGAAGTCTTTTCGCGGAGCTTGAAATTCCCAACCTTTCGTTTTCGGTGCTAGACCAAAAAGTTCAAGATTTCTATAACTATGCCTTCCGTAAAAGTTTTCTAACCTTGGGTTTTTGTTACGATACACCAAAGTAGACATCGTTTTTAAGGAAAATCTTTTCGGGACATTTGAAAAAGCACAGGAATTTAGCAGATTATTTAGCATAATTTGTCCCTTCCAAATAATGAAGACTTTTTAAAATCTGAGGAACATACCACTAATCTCAACACAGCAGGACTATAAGGAAAACTTCACGTTATTGCAATTGACTGTAAAAAATTTTAAACATATAGACCTAAAATGGAATTAACATGGCATTCAATTAGTTAATCATGGGTAGTTCATCATAGCCTACAAGTATTACTTGACATCCAACCTAACAATCATGAAACATTATTACGTTATTTCAGGGACCCGTGACCAAATGAATAAAGTGAGTACTCAATGTCGGACATCTGAGTGATGATTTCAGAAAAAGATTACAGACAAAACCCCCATATACTCACCATCAATAACCGAAAAATTTTGTCTGCGGCTTGAAACTGTTTCAATTCAAAGAGGAAACACTGATAGCCTGTTTTTAGTCCGAGTTTATGCACTAAAGTCTAGGAGGTAAAGACGAGGTATTAACCAATGAGATCACCGACTTTCGGTTTAAGCTGTCAGCAAGTTCGAAAATCCCACCTAGAACCTGTAAGATAACTGCAATCTTGGGGTGCGCTATGTAGCCTAAAATCAGTGGACGTGGTGCTGTCGCTTTATTCTTTATCTTGCCTTAGATCTTAAATATCCCATTGTTCCTAAACCGCCGTTTTTTATCTGGATTTGTTACTTTCGAACTGCTTTTTACGCTACATGCTTCCCTTTCTACCTTAAACTCGCCAATCTATCATACTTCTATTATGAATGATATTTTGCTCAAAATCTTCACACCTCTGCTGCAAAAAAGTAGTAAGTTGACATATATCATCTATCTTATCGACAGTTAAATCACAATCGTTAATCTGTACAATAAAACGGACATCAAGAATAGACTTTATTCCCAAAATGTATCTTTACAAAAGTTTCGAATTGTTTTTTTTTTAATTAATTGGAACAACTATGCGTGGTTTACAAGTGGGATAAGATAATTAAAGTGCTATCGTGATTATTATTATTATTTATTTGAACACATGAATATTGGTACAAGAGAGCGCCAATATATATGCGCCACACAAAACAATGAGAATTCGAAGAGAAGTAGAAAAAAAACTAAGGAACGCAAAAGAAAAAGAGAACAATAACGAAGAGATTGGAGTAAGGTAGTGTGGTAGTAACGAGGGAACGAAAAGGTACAATCAGAAGAAATCTTTCAGGTAAAGGAGACACAACCACTTTTTATGAAAGTAAAAGAAGGTTACAGCAGGATCGCGACTGACTTCTATTCTGAGCCATATCTGATAACGTCTCTAGCCACTGTGTTGCACCATCTCTCGTACCCCAGTCAGGGAGTCGTGAAGGACAGACACAAGCCAGTCCTTTGCAGCTTTCTTTCATACCACGACACCATGTCATGCACTGACCACCTCTCCGCTTTTTCCAACCAGTCCCAGAGTCGGCAAATAATGCACGATGTGGAATTCTCTGGAACGACATTAGTAAGACATGTCCAAGCCAATGAAGTCGGTGTTCCAATACAGTGATACCGATTGGATTATCGTCACTGTGCCCGAACACTCGATGCCGAACCTCTGCATTACTGACATGGTGTTGCCACTGAATGTCAGCAATCCTTCGGAGACAGCGATGATCGAACACAGTCGTCTAACGTCCTCAACTCGGAGAGGCCAGGTTTCACAAGCATAGAGCAAAACTGCTCTCACCGACGCGTTGTAGATCCGACCTTTTACAGCCAGACTAACATCACGAAGGCGCCAAAGGTGGCCCAGATTGGCATAAGCCGCTCTGGCTTTCACTATTCGTGCATTGATCTTATCACTCACACCCCCACCAGCACTTATGTAGCTACCCAGATACACGAACTTCTCGACTACTTCTATCTACTCACTACCCAGGGTGAGTACAGGATTAGAACCCTTCCAGTCTTGTAGAAGTACTTTGCACTTCGAAGGTGCAGAGCACATGTCATACCTACGGACATTGATTGCCAACTGATTAAGTCCGGATTGCATGCCTTGGGCATTATCGCACAGTAAGACAATATCGTCCGTATACTCAAGGTCGAGAAGTCTTTCTCCAGGCAACAGATCCACACCACCATTACCTACATTCACCAGAGCTGTTTCCAGAATGTCATCGATGGCAAAGTTGAAGAGGAATGGTGAGATTGGGCAACCCTGCCTAACCCCACTGCTCGAATGGGACAATGGAGAGAGGTGGTTGTATGCCCTCACTCTGTCTGAGGTGTTTTTATATAGGGCTTTCAGGATGTTAATAAACTTCTCAGGCACACTCTTCTTCAATAGATAATCCCAGAGAACAGTCCTGTCCAACGAATCGAAGGCAGCCCTGATGTCAAGAAACACTACGATTGTTGGCCTTTGATAAGTATGGCGGTGTTCTAACATTTGGCGGAGGGTGAAGATATGATCAAAACATCCTCGACCAGAACGAAACCCAGCCTGCTCCTCGAGGGTCAATCTTTCTCGGGTTTTGAACAACCTACGAAGAATGACGGAAGCCAATAGCTTGGACGCAATCGGAAGTAGACTTATCCCCCGATAGTTGTTACAGGAACGACGTGAACCCTTTTTAAAGATAGGGACAACTATCGACTCATTCCATGATGTTGGTACACTCTCTAGTTCCCAAACCTTTGTAAACAACGTCGTCGATTCCTTAGTCAAAAAGTAACCACCATTTTTAAAAGGAGCCGGAGGTAAGTCATCTGGGCCAGGTGATTTTTCTCGCTTCGAAAAACAATTTTTCTCGCTATCGTGAAAATATGGTGAGTTGAAAACTGAGAGAATAAAAAAATGAAGCTTCACACAGGGATGTATTGATTTGAGTTCATACTTTACAACAGCGCAGAAGGGAAAACGAGCCGAAATAAAGTATTTGAACTGATAAGAATACATATCGGAAGCAACAAACCAATGAGTAGTAAAATGATTATGGTTTGGAACGTATGGTGCTAAATATCAAGTCAATAACAATACCTAGCAGCTATTTTAAAGAATTATAATGACAAAAAAAAACAGTTAACAATCTGTGGGACCAAATGAGTAGAGAAGCCAAGATTGAATTACTCATTTCACACAATGTTCAACAAGAAATAAATCATGACCGTGTACGAACGGTACAGTTTTCGATTGAGCTAAAAATAAGACGTGTTCATTTCTTCCCATACATCATTTGTACTTGTAGTAATAAGATTAACAGGGTTAGAAGTTTCACTACTACTTCGCCCCTTCAATAAGTTGGAATGTACAAGTAAGCTATTTTTTCTTTTCCCTCTTCAATGATGTCATAAGTACTCTCTGTTATCTGTCGATTAACCCAGTAGTGTCCAGTTGACTAATTTCTTTGCCCAACTCCTCGTTGATTAATAACATTTGGCTGCTTAAACCAAGCTTTCTTATCTCTATAGGAGTGCCCCAACTCTTCCGGTCACAATGTGTCTTCTGCTTGTGTTGGGTTTTTCCTAGGTTCTCTCAGGCCCGGCCATGATTGTATATAATATCACTTCTTAACGGAACCACCATTTCGAACACAATAAGATTATCCCACGGACTTGCCACGACTGTATCACTGAGAAGATATATGTCTTTTCCCAGCCACAGTGTAGTGAATATCCTGCTGACTCCTGTTTACTACTTTAGTATACTCACAAACGAGGGTGTAGTAGTGTATCCCATGCCACCACCTCCGCCTCGATAAAGGTTCTGAGTAGTGTTTTTGAAGCATAATCCTCACACCAATATACTTTTAAAATTGGATCACTGATCAAAATGCAGTTGCCCGGGTGCTACCCATACGTTAATCTAGCTGTCAAACAATGATTTTGCTACCGTACGAGCATTGATCCTATCAAGTGGGATGGCTTCACACCATTTCGTGAAATGATCTACCATAATCAATATGCATATGCTTTCTTGTTATATCTCTCAGTAGTCCGATTGTATCAACTCCCAGGGACCAAACCTCCATATCAATTAACAGCACTCGCTGTCTTCCAGCCGCGTTTATCACGTTCCAGCAAGCCTGAAAACCATTCGGAAAACCCTAAATGTCCCGCGGCCACCAATATCTTATTTCAATTCCCTGATCTATCTTGTCATTTCCAGAGTGCCAATTATTGGCATGAACTTTATCCAACATTGCTGTAGCGATAGGTTGTGGCACTATTAGTAGTACCGATTGAACACAGGATAACTTACGCCAATACTAACTGGTCCCACAACACCCACAAACATCTTGTCTTCCGACTCTTCCCTTTAACTTCCGTGTTAGGTGGCCTTTGTCAATTGTCGCGGACAGCTCGATACAGTAGTAGTGCCTCACCATATATTTCTTGTATATGTGCCCACTGTATTATCAAGTCTTGCTTAAGAGACGGGATGAATGTTGATTACACTAAAATAGGGACAGTCTCAGTGTGACACAACAGGCTGTTGTGATAAGAAATCTGAAACTCTATGTTGGCGTCCCAGTCGATGGATACGCTCGAAACCGAAGTTTTGCAGTCTTGCCAATACGTCGTTTTCTCTCCCGAAATTCTGTGGCCACTAGGGAGCTTCATAGTAATTACTTAGTATGAAATTTATGCCAAGAAGGTACGGTCTGTACTTTCGTATGAGTTTCACGACAGATAGTATTTCTTTTCGTGTAACAATAATTTTTTCAGACCGGTTTAACGGTTGATTTCCAAACCTAATAAAAAGCTCTTTGTAACTGTGCCGAATTTGGGAAACGCCGATTTAATTCCTACTTCGCTTGTGTCTGTACCTAAGCTGTACATACCTGGATTATTTGTATTCTGAAGCGGCAACGATTTAGTGTATCGTCTAATTTTGAAGGTTACTGAGAACCTGGAGGTCAAAGTTTCGTAAAACGATTAATGCGTCATCTCGACAATTAATAGGGTTCCACAGAAACAGTCAAATTGAGACAGTCTTCAACGTGATTGAATTCAACCACAGTGTCTCATAATGTCCATTCTTCAAGTAACGAAACTGATTCCGTCGTAATGACGCATGATGTAGGACAAGTATTTGATGATAAGTTATCGCGACGACTCACCTTTCAGGGCGATTTTGAGACCTGCTCGAATGAAGTACATAAGGTAATATTACTTCTACGATTGATAATTCTTTGTAAAGTATGAGTACACTAAATATGTCATGTCAGTCTGTAAAAAGAACAAAGATAACCCTACTCTAAGGTATTTTTTTCGTCAGATATGTTTGTACTTGTGAACAGAAACAGTGCATCGGAATCAGATGTCTGTCTTCAGAATTTAGATGATGATGGTGATCAACATTCTTCCGAGGAGCGTGTATCTTCTAGCTCATCACGACAACTCAGACAAAGATGACATCAGTCATCTACGTATGATTCATTCCAAACGACCTTATCCTCCAGCTTTAAATAATGCAACTGCTTATCTGGATTTTGGATCAGTGCAGTGATTTGTAAGTTGAAGGTCACCTTCCCTAAAATTCTGCACAACCATCCCTGTACAGGATATATTTCTGTAGATCCTTTGAGATCCGAAGTAACTGCAGAACTCAACTGCTTCTAAGACAAGGGCATAATGTATGTTGTTGATGCTTCACGTGCAAGACGTGCTTATGGACGTCCCAGTGAATACATGTTGCCGTGTGCACACGCCAAAGATCTAATCCGTGTATGTCTTTGTCTCTATAAGCACTATAGATTTACTTCGACACAGCAGTCGGTGAACAATTAACTACATGATTGACTTGATTCTGATTTATTTTCCAGTCTATCAATACCTGGAACTCCTCCTGGAGCCCCTCTAGGGCCAATGCCGATCCCAATACTGGATGAAGGAGGAGGGTTGGGCAGAGGGGTTAGAGACCCCATCCAGTTGAAATCTAACTCGCTAAAAACACAATAACCAGGAAAACAATTCAATACCTCAACTTAATTACTTACGCCTGCTACTCCTCGTCGTAGAGTATATGCCGCCCACCAAAATTCTATATCCAACTCTGCCCTGGGCAATCTTTTCCTTTTCATGTCTGCCTCCTATTCCTTACGCAGTGTATTTATTATTAATATCATTATTCACGAACATCTTATGGGTACATGGTCATCCGCTTTTCCGTTTCCTTCCGGGATTCCAGGTTGAAGCTCGCTTCGTTATGCAATTTAATGATTTTCGAAATGTACGTTTCACGCACCGCTTCCAACATCTTTTTCTAATTTCCTCACCAGATGGAACCTGATTTGTCCTCACCCACACTGTCAAAATCGATTGTTCTCAATGACCATGGCTATGCTTCTTGGTAACCAGACGTTTGTTATTGTAACTTTTTTACTTTTACATAAGTTCACTTATACGTCCAACAACGTATTCTTACAGTGTCACGGCAGGGAGCGTGTACCCCAAAGTCTTATATAATAGTCTGACTACGGAACACAAGGATGTCGGTTCGCGTTGATATGTAGCGATTTTCAGGTTAGTGCCTGCGTGATTGGTGGTCTGGACCGTTTACCAAATACTTCAACCCTGAACTTAGTGAATTAAACAACTAAGTTAAATTCGGTACTACTGCACTACTTAGAAATCACATAACAGTTGCTTTTTGCCTCGGTATACATCGGTAAAACTGAGTGACTCACGGTTTTAACCAGTGCTCTTTCGCCAATGATCAGAGTCTGTATCATGAAAGTATCTCATCTGTTCTTCGTTCTAGGTGGTTTGTCATTCGCACCCTAGCAGCCCTTTCTTCACTTCTGCAGGTATGTTCATGTAATGAGTTCGGAATGATTTTTCTTCTCTTGAAAACTTAATAGGACTCAGACATTTATTACCTATACCTATAGTCATTACCGCAGATAAAGGATATTTACTAGCTATTTGATTCTAACGCATTTACTCATCGAACGATAAATAGGGGTGAGTGGTCAAAGTTGTTCATGAGATATTCATGTTACAGCATGTATGTAGTACAGGTATGTGCATATTCGGAACCAGTTACGTCACTGACCATCCCGTCACCTAGCCACTCAAAAAATACTGAAACACATGTAAGATCTAATTCATTGTATTGAAAATCATTTAAAACAATATGATTTTAAACTTTCTAATGGGCATGCATGGCAAGTGAAATGTCTCCGAGACCTAGCCGAACACTCCAGTTTTTGGGTCGCTGAATGTCGAACAATTTGTCGATCCCCGTCAAGGTCAAGGAAAACCAGCACACGCCATGAATTGGCTGATACAGTGGCGGTCACACCTTCGCTTGTACTTACTTTAACTAATATATTTCCGTAACAACGTTCTTTGTGCTGTGCAGTCTTCAAAGCATCCGTAGTACCTTGATACGACGAAGGAGTAATTCACGTCTGGTGCTGACTGCGAGGCATAACTTCGACGTTAGCTGTTGGTCACACCATTCCTGTCTAACTCCAGTAGGCCCCTAATTATTCAACATAGATCATCTTCTTTGATGATCTACAAATGTGTAGACGCTTGATATTTATTCACATTTTATGAAGACATTATAATTATTTTCGCTCCATTAATAAAGGGAAATTCTCCAAACTGGCAAATGTCTGTTAAAAAAGTAAATAAATGGTTATTAAACCGGCACAATGAACATATTCATAAAACTGAACGAATGTATGTTAAGGTACGGAATTCTTGTTTCTGTGACTGATTTATACTTTGTGATTCCTTGTATTACAGAGAAGTCGGTGTTCGAAAGTCAAATTTATGATTGTAAAATCTCGCGAATTCCAATGATTAGGCAGCTACCTTGATTTGATATGGATTATTTCAAACAACTGCCACTTGCCTTCGATGTTCATGAGACTGAAGTCTCATCCCATACTTCCTTTTCATTTCTCACAAGTGTCACTCAAGCAACCAGTTAAGGCTAAATAAAGCGGACGACATGTAAATAATAGGAAAAGTCGATTTTTGCTCCCTTACATCGTGTATTTTCGGGAAATTTGCAGACAAATATATGTAAAGTACCTCGTTTGAATATGCAGCCTCCTGGACAAACTTTCCCATAAATATTTACAAACCAGTGAATTGTTTTATAACAAACGAGAACAACCATCATTAACGCATGTCTAAATATACAGACACAATGAATTTCGTGAGATCTATATACCCAAAGTTTGTTGTTTTTGTTTAACCAGGCTATTCGCATATACTTGGTGACAATCATACATAGCTTACGACGTGCATGTAAATAGCTTGCTCTCTGTGTTTGTGTTCATTGTCACTAATTACCTCGTTCGTCCTATAAGAAGTATTCAGTAAACGTCCGTGAGGGTGTTCATAGTCGTGAGGGCAACAATGGGCCTATCAAGCTCACCCGCTTGTCATAGGTCGACATATAACCGTAGGTGGAATAAAATGCGAAGGACGCTCCTGTAAAAACACGACTTTCTTTCGTGTAGTTAACTTGCAAATGAAAACATGATCAACGGTAATTGGATTTACCAGTGATTTATGTTGCCGTTTATGCAGTCACCACTGAATTTAATTGTGATGAGAATCTATCAACAGTGATCGCATCTGGTAGCCACAATAACGAAAGGTGACTGGATGATAACGGCACGTAAAGGAATTGAATCCGTTTATCCTTTTCCTGTAGGATGTAATGAAGTTTGCTCGTGTTCACAAGCGTACCTAAACCAGAAAGAACAGATTAACATGGCACTTATGAGTTTGATGACAAACGGCTGTCAAACCGTCAAAGATGCTGATCGCATCCTGATCGCTTTTCCAAATCTTGTCCCTGACTTGCCAAGCAGCATCAATGTCCAACCCAAGTTCGTCAGCAGTGAAGTTTACTAACATCTCGGATTAAGAACTAACCTGCCAAGATATGTCCAACTTTGATTGTGTACTTGTGGTATTAATATGTTTGATTTGCATATTAGTGTAAATGAACTTTCTAGTTCGAGGAGCTCTAGTCATCAGTTATGATCTATATCAGGACGCATCGTTGCCCCTAGGTTTAATGACATGTTCATGATAGGTATCTATGGAATTCAATGGAATATCTGCGGACACCATTTCGGAACTAAAAGAACTGAGGGACGTGTGTCTGCTTGGTATTATGTCCATCAAACTGGTAGCTGTAGTATGTGACTCACCTGCTCGTTTAGATGTTAGGTGCACTGTTGATCACAATGGGAATGCAGATTGTAATAAGTGTGTTGCGGTTGGTTGGTGCATTGGTGGAAAGATGACCATTCGAAAGGGTGAATATACATTGGGAATTGATGATAGTTTTCGTCAACAGGTTCAATCTTTTTGCCATCAAGGCCATACAAACTTCGAAACGCTTAGCATTGATATGATTCTAACTTTCACTTTAGGTCAAGTGCACATGATATGCTTAAGTTTGATAAAGAAACTAATCAAACCATGGATAAAGTTGTCCAACAAAAGACTATGTAACATGGACAAATATGTGGTTTGAGATATAAATAAATTAATATGAAGTTGTATACCAAGTACTCCTTCCAACTTTCAGCATAAATGTTGAATATTAGACTTCATTTCAGTATGGAAAGCGACAGAGTGTCGACTGTTCCTTCTATTTTTAGGTTCCGTGATTCTTCAAAAATGTTTACCACAAACCTTTTGCGATACTTTTAAGAGTTTAGTATTAACGGTGTATTCGGTAGCGCATCCAAGATTACATGAAAGCGCAACGGAATCAGTCATAACTTATTTACTCAGTTTTCCCAGCAAGCATTGATGGTGAGGGCGATAACTTCAATCCACCCGTGTTTGTGGGGACAGAACATTTTGTATGTATCAGGCTCCTCATGATTGAGAATAAGTCAACCAACATGTGATACAGATTGTCTTCCTACGCTCACCACTCAGACTCATGTTTCCAATATTATGCTGGATTAGCTATTCTACTAAGACAACCTATAACATGCTAACTCGGACTTTTACACTAGGACTGTGTGGCTGGCATCGGATAGAAAAAAAGATAACAAAAGACATAGTCATTAGTATTCTTAACACTTCACCCTCTATATACACACTGTAACGACCGAACAGCCAGTATTCGGCTGGAACAACGGACTGACGAACCCAAAATTTATTCGATTAGACCAGACCAAGTTCCTCTGTATAGCTCACAACGCGTCTTTGAGATACTCGTATTATATTATATCAAAACACAAACTCTGTGCTCAATATAAGCGGTTCTAATTAAGAAAACAGAACAAATTACATCAAAAATACAAAATACCTCAAACTGTACAGCGTGTACTATACAGTCAGAAGTTTCTCTAACGCAAAGTAGCGCGCTAAACAATGAAAAAGACAGTTAATACTAAAGGGTTTGATACCTGAGAATCAATACAAATATTCCTAATAAGATGGGATCAAATATCTATCCACAGGGATTGCAGCAATTCTCCCAAGCAGACAGTCAGAAGGTTAACAGTCACAAACTGAACCACGCCGTGACCTTGAGCTTAGTCAAACACAACCTTACTGTCAATGGTCCGGCAACATGCAACAGAAAATTAGGTAACAAAAATAAGTCTTTAATCAAAATCACATAATAAAGGCTCAAACGGGGAAGACTGAAGAACAAAAGACATGGTTAAACGAGATAGAAACAAAGGTTGGAATACACAAAAGGTAAAGGGAACAAATAAATGAAAATACTGTTCAACAAAGAAGCTGAAGAGGGATTTTCACTGTTCTCTTTCCGTTACACCGGGCCCCAAAATCCCTCCAGCTACGCAAAGACACCTTAGATTACACTCCTGTCATGGCTCTCCTTACTAACTGCTCTATATCAATGGGTGGCACAGGACTTACAACAGTGCGCCTGTACATCCTTAAACCTAAGCTACAATCTACAATTACTCGGCTTCCTCTAGAAGGCAGAGCTTTCGCACATCTCTTCTTACTACACCTTCTTTCATTCGCACCATTACTTTTCTTACCAACCCATCTCTATCTGTCTCGTACTTATCAACCCGTCCCATTGGCCATGAGCCCCGAGTAGTTACATCGTTAGCCACTAGAACTACATCACCTTCTTTTAAGTCTCTGTGTTTGCTAAACCATTTCTGCCTCACTTGCAGTAAAGGAATGTACTCTTTTATCCATCGACGCCAGAAGGTGTTGGCTAAACAATTAACCTGTCTCCATCGCTTTGAATACCTATCCGCAACACTACACTCCATTCCTAAACCATCACAGTCTCTCAGTAATAACAAAGTGTTTAGCGTGAGCGCAAAGTCATCCTTTTCATCTGACGTCACAGGAACGATTGGGCGGTTGTTTAAAATTCGTTCTACCTCCACAAAATAAGTTGCTAAACTATCATCGTGTATGGTTTGCCCGTTAGAAATAGATAGTAATATCCTCCGAACAGACCGTATTAATCTCTCCCAAACTCCGCCTCGATGGCTAGCCAGTGGGGGGTTGAAATGCCAGTGTATACCCTTCGATGCTGTTAAGTTGTTTATTCTATGCTTGTCCCACACGCTCATATTAGCTCGCAATTCGGAAGTAGCCCCGACAAAGTTAGTACCATTGTCGCTATAGATTTCCTTAGGAGTCCCTCTCCTTCCTATGAAATGTATTAAAGCCATTATGAAAGCATCAGTACTCAAATTGAAAGCTACTTCCAAGTGTACGGCACGCGTTTGGAGACACGTAAATAGGCATCCGTATCTTTTTTCCTTACTTCTTCCCCGACGAACTACCAGCGGCCCGAAATAGTTAATCCCTACGGAGGAGAAGCAGAACCAGCCTTGCTGCACTCGACATTCGGGGAAAGGTGCCATCATCTGTTGGCCCAAAGTGGCCTTCGCACTTATACACCTCACACATCTACCTATTACTCGTTTAACTGCACCGGCTCCTTTAACAATCCAATAATTTCGTCGTATGGTAGCTAGCACTTGCGATGCCACGGTGTGACCTTCTGGGTGGTGTTAGTGTCTAATAATTAGTTCTGTTACGAGGTGATGACTGGGTATAATTGCCGGATGTCTGGCTGCGAGTGGATAATCCGGGTAATTTAATCGTCCTCCGACGCAAAGCAATCCATCTATTAGCGTAGGTGAAAGATTTTGTAGCTCTTTTATATCAGTTGCGCTTACGCGATTGTGTTGAGACACTTTTACTGCTTCCCCATACACTTCCGTTTGCACTAAGGCTAACACCTTGCGTTTAGCTGCATCCAATTCATTAACTGTTAGATAGCCCACACATAGGGACCTGTCATCGTGATGGGAGTACATGATTGTTATATAAGTCACATATCTTCTGAGCCATGCCACTGCTTTAATCAGCTTTATCCAATTTGAGTGATATAGCGAATTGGACTTAAACTATGTTTTAGCGCAACTGCGTTGGTCGCGTGACATCTTTTAAATTCAACATTTTCCGGGGGATTTTCGCAGATAAGCGTCGATGTTCCTACAGATTCCCTCTTCCTTAAGAAGGAAGGACCCTCAATCCATTTTTTAAAACCTAGCTCCTTCCGTATACCTCGTGATGTCCAGTCAGCAGGATTTTCATTGGATTCGACGTGCCCCCACTGGTCCACAGATGTTGAATGATGAATAACAGCCAGACGATCATGCCTGAAAAAACGGTGTGTACCTGCACATGCAGAAATATATTATTATTATTATGTGGTCAGGAGAACTTATTTTATAATGTGCATTTAGTCGAAAAATCATACTTTTCAGCGAGTTTTCTGAATCGCATTAAAATAGTGCTCAGCTATTTTACTAGCCATTAAGAACTTTGAATGCATTTCACGTGCTTACCCAAATATTAGCAATGCATCAACGCAATCTGTGATTGAGAACCTGGGGATATGTGGAAATAGAAATGAAAATACTGGTAAGTTATGGTGAGATACTATCTTCAGTCCTTAAGAGTATGCCACATTTTCCCCTAAAGGGCTCCTTAGAAGTTGCTTGGAGCACATCAACCAGCAGTGAATTCCAGAACCTGACTACTCATAGAGTGTAAAATTTGTGCCTACGGTCGATCCCGCCATGTTGTATCCTCAAATTTTGCGTGTTACTCCTAAGGTTTCTGCTGCAATTGAGTTTAAGTAGGTATTTGATGGGCTGTCCAGAAGTGATGTCATAAGACACTGAAAGGTCACCTCTGAGATGCCTGTACTATAATGGGAAAAGACTCGATTATTTGAGCCGCTATTCACAAGGTTTGAATTTGGGTCCTCGAAATGATTTCGTGGCTCGCCGTTGGATAGGTCGCAGTGAATTCTTGTACTTTTGAACTGAGGTGAAAAACACTGTATTCCCATTTTCTGAATAGGGTTGAATGAAACTGCTCATTGTCATACTAGCGAAAAATTCTTCAACGTTACCGATGCAAGGTTCGCTCGAAAGACGTCTTTGCCGCAGTTGACATGAGACTTTTATTCATAGAGTACCAGAACTCCTTGATCATTCTCTACTTGAGATACTTCCAGAGCAGAATAACCAAAGCCGTATGTGTACTCTGCAACATGTCTCAGGTGAATTACTTTACACTCTAAAGTATTGGAATAAAGTCAGTCCTAATCCGCCTATTTTTTAAGTCGAGTTAAATCCTCCTCACTTACCAGCTCATCTTCTTGGTTAAAAACGTCTCCCCAAACTTTCAAATCCTCAGAAAAAGTGATAAGTCGGATGACGCTCTCTGAGATAGGTTATTTATGTAGGCTACACGGAGAAGAGTTCCTAGTAATGAACACTAAGGGATCCCAACAGAAACAGATAGATATTGTCGCAGGTTTCAATTATGCTGGCCAGATATTCAATGTCTGCTGCCGTGTCAGGTCCGTGAAACCATCAAGTTGTGGATTATTTGAATGGCGCAAGTTCACTGTGGTATTTGTTACAGACGTAGAGGCGAAGCAGACGAGAAAAGGCAATACATAACATCTTGTCATATTACCTGCAAGATCCATTTTGAGTGTTTCGTATGTGAAAATCTCTCCACGTACATACTAGTTTATTCTTCTTGATTTCTTCAGACGTATATGTTGCTTGTCTTTTTGATTGGATATGAGGTAGTGCTATTTGTATTTTATTGTTGCTCTTGTTTTCCTAAGTGTTTTACTGAAATTCCATGTTTTCCTGAACAGAACTTACGTTGTTTTAGTTCACGCTTAGATATGGCGGCAGCTATATTGATTAACTCTTTTTTTAGATTGCATTGCTTAAATTGGCTGGAATTGTGAATTGAAGGACTCTTCCAGAATCTGTAGCAGTCCGTGTTCTACCGAAATTAAATATTATATTTTGTGCAGACTGTGCGTGAACTTTTCAGGAAGAATTGAATAACAATTAACTATTGTTGTTTTTAATTCTCTTACAACCTTTACCAACTTACACAAGGACGTAAAAATAAGATGTATATGTGTTCCGAAGTTCAAGAATCCCTATAAGAAGAAGAGAGTTATTATTATTATAAAAACGACTCAGTAGTCAAATGATATTCGAGTTATTTAGGTTCGTTTCAAAGATGGGATGAATCATGTGTGTATATATAAGGTTTGTATAGATTTCTCCAAAGAGTAAACGACTGATCAGAGACATGTTGTTCAGGAGGTTACTTTTTAACTCTCTTAGCATCACACCGAACCCCTTAGACGTTTGAGCTCCAGAAATCTGCGGAGCCGCATTGACTGCTATTGTGAAAATATCCACTACCTTCATTTGCTGATGTGAATGTTCTGTGTGCTTGTTTCTTATCTAGATTTATTGTTGTACAACTTCCTTCATCCATCGTAATGAGTCGACGCTGTGATATTCGCCTACAAGGTTTCTGTGCTGCAAAGTGTGCGACTTTATCAGGCTTCCCATATCCGCAAATTTTGCTACGGGACATACGGACAAGTATGAGAAGACTTAATTTAAGAATTTTTCATATACTTGGTGATAAAGAGTTACAGTCAGGTCGAGTAAACACAACCGGTTCGGCACGGGTGCCGATCAACAATCAGCTGCCAGTTATTCGCTTTCACGCCGCAGCCCCAACATTCGCTTCAAAACCCATCGGAAACCGCCAGTAGCTTAATTTCGTATGCTTCAGACATTAACCTTGCATGCGAACAACGAGCCTTTTATCAATACTCAGTGAAAATAAAACACCTTTAGTTTTCAAGAGGTTTCCTCCAAGCTTTGCTTACTGCAATAATGAAGACCCGGTTTTGACATATCAGTCAAAGTCGTAGTCTAGTGTCCGGGTATACGCCACTTGTTCTCATTTTTGTAAGTCACGATCAGAGCTATTTCGCCCAATTTTTTTCAAATTTTGTCTTGTTTGGATTTGTTGGCTCTTCGGCTCAAATGGTTCAGTTGGTTGTGAATAGAACAGAAAGGGTAAGACACTAGTACGCCCAGGTAGAGACCTAGCTACTTTGAACAAGCTAAAGAATAAACTATAATAAGGTGTCAGAACGAATGTTTAAAAACACTCCAGGTTTTTCCTTAAGTACCTCTCGAAATTCAACTGGACCTCATTAGACTTTACCAAGGCTTGTGCTGAAATTGAGAATAGGTTTTTATATAAGGTCGTCAATACCTGGTAATTACACACACATGATTCATCCCATCTTTGAAACGAACCTAAATAACTCGAATATCATTTGACTACTGAGTCGTTTTTATAATAATAATAACTCTCTTCTTCTTATAGGGATTCTTGAACTTCGGAACACATATACATCTTATTTTTACGTCCTTGTGTAAGTTGGTAAAGGTTGTAAGAGAATTAAAAACAACAATAGTTAATTGTTATTCAATTCTTCCTGAAAAGTTCACGCACAGTCTGCACAAAATATAATATTTAATTTCGGTAGAACACGGACTGCTACAGATTCTGGAAGAGTCCTTCAATTCACAATTCCAGCCAATTTAAGCAATGCAATCTAAAAAAAGAGTTAATCAATATAGCTGCCGCCATATCTAAGCGTGAACTAAAACAACGTAAGTTCTGTTCAGGAAAACATGGAATTTCAGTAAAACACTTAGGAAAACAAGAGCAACAATAAAATACAAATAGCACTACCTCATATCCAATCAAAAAGACAAGCAACATATACGTCTGAAGAAATCAAGAAGAATAAACTAGTATGTACGTGGAGAGATTTTCACATACGAAACACTCAAAATGGATCTTGCAGGTAATATGACAAGATGTTATGTATTGCCTTTTCTCGTCTGCTTCGCCTCTACGTCTGTAACAAATACCACAGTGAACTTGCGCCATTCAAATAATCCACAACTTGATGGTTTCACGGACCTGACACGGCAGCAGACATTGAATATCTGGCCAGCATAATTGAAACCTGCGACAATATCTATCTGTTTCTGTTGGGATCCCTTAGTGTTCATTACTAGGAACTCTTCTCCGTGTAGCCTACATAAATAACCTATCTCAGAGAGCGTCATCCGACTTATCACTTTTTCTGAGGATTTGAAAGTTTGGGGAGACGTTTTTAACCAAGAAGATGAGCTGGTAAGTGAGGAGGATTTAACTCGACTTAAAAAATAGGCGGATTAGGACTGACTTTATTCCAATACTTTAGAGTGTAAAGTAATTCACCTGAGACATGTTGCAGAGTACACATACGGCTTTGGTTATTCTGCTCTGGAAGTATCTCAAGTAGAGAATGATCAAGGAGTTCTGGTACTCTATGAATAAAAGTCTCATGTCAACTGCGGCAAAGACGTCTTTCGAGCGAACCTTGCATCGGTAACGTTGAAGAATTTTTCGCTAGTATGACAATGAGCAGTTTCATTCAACCCTATTCAGAAAATGGGAATACAGTGTTTTTCACCTCAGTTCAAAAGTACAAGAATTCACTGCGACCTATCCAACGGCGAGCCACGAAATCATTTCGAGGACCCAAATTCAAACCTTGTGAATAGCGGCTCAAATAATCGAGTCTTTTCCCATTATAGTACAGGCATCTCAGAGGTGACCTTTCAGTGTCTTATGACATCACTTCTGGACAGCCCATCAAATACCTACTTAAACTCAATTGCAGCAGAAACCTTAGGAGTAACACGCAAAATTTGAGGATACAACATGGCGGGATCGACCGTAGGCACAAATTTTACACTCTATGAGTAGTCAGGTTCTGGAATTCACTGCTGGTTGATGTGCTCCAAGCAACTTCTAAGGAGCCCTTTAGGGGAAAATGTGGCATACTCTTAAGGACTGAAGATAGTATCTCACCATAACTTACCAGTATTTTCATTTCTATTTCCACTTATCACTAGGAGCCCTGGCGTTCCTGCGCTCACTGTGACAAAATTGTCTTCCCAGCACTCTTTTCACTGGTAACATTGATGCTCATTATTGGCCAATTCGACGGGATTTCATTCCGTTTTACCTTCAAGAGTTTCATCCGTCCGCATATAGAGTATTGAAACATAGTATTTTTTCCCACACTTTAAAAGGATATGGACAATGTGTAGCTTGTCCATTGGCGAGCCACGAAATCAGTCCTAGGACTCAAATTTATGTCTTATGAAGAGCGTGTGGCGGTAAATAAATCTTCAAAATGAATAGCTCTGTAAGTTTTTGACATTGGATGCTGACCTCGTTAGTTTTAATGGACTCCACGTAGTTGGAGCCGCTCGGCCATGCATCCGCACTAGATCACGAGTGGGAACGCCGTGCTCAATATCCCCTACAATCGCTATCCAGAATAGATCAGACGATCCTCGATATTTAGAAAGCCTATCGGATATATCTTCAAACCTCTTCGCTTCTGTCTTTTGATTTCAATTGGTAGGTACGATGCAGATTAGGAGTTACTGGTTAGAGCGTTGTCAAGCTCCGAATACCTGTGGCATTTTCAAGCGCCTCCATTAACTTGACCTTCACCCATTAAAGTATTGGCGTCTTAGAGGTGACATTCTGATGGCTCTCACCATCCTTACCACTTCTAGACATCCTTTTAAACACCTACTTAAGCTTAGTCCCAATACCTACCTAAGGGGTAACACCCAGAAATTGAAGACACAACATAGCAGAACGGACTGTAGACACAACTCCTACTCCTTAAGAGTTGTAAAATGCTGGGCCTCTCTGCCGGCCGAGCTAATCCAAGCGAATTCTCAGATGTCCTTCAAGAGGCAACTTGATCTATTCTTGAGATTTGAGGATAGTATCATACTATGATTTACTAATTTCTTTTTCCTATTTTGTCGTTAACATATCTATGTTCCTGCCTATAGTTATACGTGATCCCCTGCTACTAGACACAGAAGCCTGTTAAACGTAAGCTTCTTCTATTCCGTTTACCACCATTTGAACCATTTACATTGACATCGTTTTAAATGCACTGACTTCAGGTTGTCTGTCGACCTTGGTGCTGGTAGACAATTTCAATGACTTTCCTTGAATGTGAGTTATTTATATCCGTCTTTTTAAGAAAGCTTCCTGATAGATCTTATTCTTCGTCGTATTTTGACAATTTTTATGTGAATTTTTTACGACAATTAGTTTGCTTGAAAAGTCCGAGTACTGTTGACTTTTAGGTTAATTATTTGTTTCATTATGCTTCGGAAAACTCTGGAATTTCGAGTGATCTCCAAGACATTTTCAGGTCATAGAACAATTGTAATAAGGTCCTCAAGTGTTCGCTACCAAATCTTTTAACGTTCGGCAAATAAACTCAAACTGCACAATCAAAGTTATCTGTAAGGTTAAATATTTATCTTCGAATTTCTGTTGTCCACAGCACATTGTCCCCAAGTTCCGTTAATTGTATGATGATTTAAGAATGTCCTAGTTTCCCAGCTGTCTTCATAACGACTCCAACGATCGACACATTTCCTTCTAAATGCTTTGTTCGGGACAGTCTTTAATTCTCAAACAATGCTTTATCCATTCATCCCAGAAAACCTATTTACAGCGTGTTTAAATAACGAAAAATTAAGAAGTTTCGCCCTAATGTATTTCTGCCGAAACTTTCATTCTTGTCATAAGTTTAACTTTTATGGCAAATTATGACCTATATTGGCGAATAAGTAGTTGGTTCTTCAGTTTCAGTTTCAGTTTGGGAAGGACAGGAGGCTCGATGGCTTATGTTAGTCCTGGGAATGGTTGTCTCTCAGTTGATCCAACTTTTTTTTGAAAGAGTCGACGGATGGAGCCTCAACTACGTCCTGAGGTAGTGAATTCCACTCGTTGATGATTCGATGGGAAAGTCGATAGTCAGCTGACAAGTAATTTGTTCTCGGCTTGTGAACTTTTTTGGAGTGTCCTCGTAAATTCTCTGTTTTGGAAGACAAGAAAAATGAAGGCATGTTAGATGCAAATTTATCACTAAGCAATTTGTAGACTGTAATCAAGTCGCCTCTAGTTCTGCGATATGACAACGGGAAAAGGTTCAGCTTGGCCAGTCGAGATTCATACGGAAGCTTCGCTATTGCGGGAACCAGCTTAGTCGCCGTTCTCTGAACCTTTTCCAGAAGCTCACTGTCTTTTTTTAAGCAGGGGCTAGCCGCTTGTATGCAGTACTCAAGTTTAGGACGAACGAACACTGTATACAAAGTCAAAAACGTTTTAGCGTCGACATGATTAAAAGCTCTACGTATTGGCCATAAGGTTCTAAAACCTTTGGCGGCTATTGCACGGCAGTGTGCAATAGTCTTTAAGTCTTGACTAACGATGACTCCTAAGTCATTATGTCGAAAAATCGTAATGTTTTTTATAATAAACCTTCACTTTGTTTGCGAATCATTCATGATTCTTTCAGTGTAAAAGAATTGTTTGGTTAAATGTAGTGACGTTTGTTATCAGGAAAGCCTTTGCTAAGCTGATAAAACGTACCAACCTGTATGAATTACTCGAAAAGGCGGTGTACGTGATGCTCCTGAAATTAGTTGATTTGTTTATGTCTTTCCAAATACTTTATTCCAAACACTTAAGTCTAGAGAATGCTCACGGACGGAATTTATAAGCGTGGTGTTTAAATCCGAAATTAATCGCCTAATAAATACAAAGATGGTCGCACAAAGCAGTTGTATGGTATTAAGCCTCTTATACAGTCAGTACACATAAACAAAACGTTAATACTTTGTCGTAGTCAAACTGTGATACTGTAAGTTTCCAATGAAGATTACGCTATGTAGCGTAATTTTAACTTGTTAAACGGGAGAAGTAATGCATAAATTTCATTCGTCACTCATCCACAATATGAAAACTATACTTTTAGCATCAATCCTGGTATGTCATAGAAAATAATGGATTACTAATATAATGATCTCAGGAAAAATGAGACAATTGTATGACACGACAAAGAAACTCTCTGGAAATCGCCGCAAACCAGAACGACCAGTGAAAAGCAAAGAAGACAAGGTAATCACCAACATTGAAGAGCAACAAAACAGGTGGGTAGAACACTTCAAAGAACTCTTGAATCGACCAGCTCCACTGAACCCACCCAACATCGAAGCAGCACCCACGGACCTCCCAATCAATGTTGGCCCACCAACAATTGAAGAAATCAGCATGGCCATAAGACAAATCGAGAGTGGCAAAGCAGCAGGACCAGACAACATCCCAGCAGAGGCACTAAAAGTAGACGTAGCGGCAACTGCAAGGATACTCCACATTCTCTTCAATGAGATTTGGGATGAGGAACAAGTACCAACAGACTGGAAAGAAGGACTCCTGATCAAAATACCAAAGAAAGGCGATCTCAGCAAGTGTGATAACTACACGGGCATCACTCTTCTCTCAATACCGGAAAAAGTCTTCAACAGCGTATTGTTAAACAGGATGAAGGACTGCGTGGACGCCCAAATTCGTGACCAACAGGCAGGATTCCGTAAGGATAGATCGTGTACAGACCATAATCGCAACTCTACGGATCATTGTGGAACAATCAATTGAATGGAATTCATCACTCTACATCAACTTCATTGACTACGAAAAAGCATTTGACAGCGTGGACAGAACAACACTATGGAAACTTCTTAGACACTACGGCGTGCCTCAGAAGATAGTCACTATCATACAGAATTCATATGATGGATTACACTGCAAAATCGTGCATGGAGGACAGTTGACAAAGTCGTTCGAAGTGAAGACCGGTGTTAGGCAAGGTTGCCTACTCTCACCCTTTCTCTTTCTCCTGGTGGTCGACTGGATCATGAAGACGTTAACATCTGAAGGGAAGCGCGGGATACAATGGACACCTAAGATTCAGTTGGATGATCTAGACTTCGCAGATGATCTGGCCCTTTATCCCAAACGCAACAACAGATGCAGGAGAAGACGAACAGTGTGGCAGCAGCCTCAGCAGCAGTAGGTCTAAATATACACAAAGGGAAAAGCAGGATTCTCCGATACAACACAGCATGCACCATTCCAATCACAATTGACGGGGAAGATTTGGAAGATGTAAAAACCTTTACGTATTTGGGCAGCATCATTGGTAAACAGGGTGGATCTGATGCAGATGTGAAGGCGCGGATCGGCAAAGCAAGAGCAGCATATTTACAACTGAGGAACATCTGGAACTCAAAGCAACTTTCAATACAAATGTCAAGACAGTTCTACTGTATGGGGCAGAAACCTGGAGAACTACGAAAGCCATCATCCAGAAAATACAGGTGTTTATTAACAGCTGTCTACGCAAAATACTTCAGATCCCTTGGCCGGAAACTATTAGCAACAACGTACTGTGGGAGAGAACAAACCAGATCCCAGCGGAGGAAAAAATCAGAAAGAAGCGCTGGAAGTGGATAGGACACACATTGAGGAAAGCACCCAACTGCGTTACAAGACAAGCCCTCACATGGAATCCTCAAGGCCAAAGGAGGAGAGGAAGATCAAAGAACACATTAAGTCGGGAAATGGAGATAAATGTGAGAAAAATGAACAAGAATTGGATGGAACTAGAAAAGAAGGCCCAGGACAGGGTGGGTTGGAGAATGCTGGTCAGCGGCCTATGCTCCATTGGGAGTAACAGGCGTAAGTAAGTAAGTAAGTAAAGTAATATAATGATCTCACAGGTCAACTCTAAAGGAGGACTTCCCGTTTTATTTTGGTTTTTCAAACATTCCGTCTGAAACTCTGATGTCCATAGTAAAAAATCCTTTTAGAATCAACCTACTTCGCGGCTTTGGTCCATAGTGATAATCGCCAAAAATACAACTTCAATCCTATATCATTTTCTTAGTTTCATTTCACTATCTGTATTTAAAACTCGAGGTATCTACAAATCGACTCCTTATCTCCACATGTTTACAATGTCTTCGAATAAATGTACTAACCTCGTTAATTTGAGCTGATGGAATTAAATTCTTGTTTCTCATCAAAAGCACTATGAAATCCTTAGCTCTTTAGTATAGAATGAAGCTTGGCAGTAGAAAAATGCACAATCGCTCATAAAAGTACCCCAACATAACAGCATAAAAACATTTAATTAAAAAGTAAAAAAAGTATAATGGGTATGGGTTGCACGGAGGAAAAAAACAGTATTTAGATGCTCAATACTCAAAAGAACCTGAGCTTTGAACGTAACTACATGACGACTTATTAATTCAGACATTAAGCTTCCAGCTGACATTTTACAAGTTCGAACTCCCCCAACTTCTTACGGTCCGGGTACCTGATCAATTTCGCTAACTTTCACATATACTAGTCAATCAGTAACAACGTAAAGCTTCGTACGTACGTACATTAGTTCAAGCTGCCATACCACATTGGCACAGAGATGCAGTTGTCGATTCAAATCCCGTAGTGGTAGAGGTAGTACGATTATAAGCAGTAATCGGAAAGATTAGGGTTTGTAGATGTTATTTAAAGAACACAATCCAGTGAAATAAATTTGGGAAGAGAAAAAAGAGACGGAGGAATCAGGTTTCTTCTGGTTCCTTAAAACTCATTGAAGCCCGTCGGTCTACTCCGGGTGACCGTGAGTTTGACCACAAACGAAAGATGTTACGTCATGAAATTGGGCAAAGCTTGCGTAAGGACCGAAAAGCCTTGTGGTCGGAGAGTGCTAATGAGCTGGAAGCAGCAGCTGCATCTGGTAATTACCGGAAGCTTTTCCAACTCATCCAAGCCACTGGCTGCAAGAAGTCTGGTGTGAGCGAAACAATCTGCGAGGATGACGGAACGTCAATCACTAACATCCATCGACGTGTTGGACGATGGGCAGAATTTTTCGAAGGGCAATTCAACTGGCCTGCTGCTCCGTCAACATCTATCAGACTGTCCTGCCGTCCATGGCGGGTGACGACTGATCCACCGAATGAGGCGGAAGTTCGCAAGGAACTCCAACTCTTGAAGCGCTACAAATCACCTGGCTCCTTTTAAAGATGGTGGTGGCTTTCTGACTAAAGAACTGACGACGTTGTTTACAAAGGTCTGGGAGGTAGAGAGTGTACCAACGTCATAGAGTGAGTCGATAGTTGTCCCTATCTTTAAAAAGGGTTCACGTCGTCCCCGTAACAACTATCGGAGAATAAGTCCACTTATGATTACGTCCAAACTATTGGCTTTCGTCAAACCTCATAGATTGTTCAAAACCTAAGAAAGATTGACTCGCGAGGATCAGGCTGGTTTCCATTCCGGTCGAGGATGCATTGAGCATATCTCCTTCCTCCACCAAATGTCAGAACACCGTCATATTTATCACAGGCCAACAATTGTAGTGCTTCTTGACATTAGGGTTGCGTCTAATTCATTGGGCCGCACTGTTTTCTGGGATTGTCTATTGAGGAAGCGTGTGCCTGAGAAGTTGACCAACATCTTAAAAACCCGATATACAAACATCTCAGGCAGAGTAAGGACATATAACCACCTCTCTCCACTGTTCCATTGAAGCAGTAGGGTTAGACGACAGGGCTGCTCCACTTCACCGTTTCTCTTCAACTTTGCTATCGATGACATTCTGGGAACAGCTCTGATGGATGTAAGTAATAGTGGTGTGGATCTGTTACCTGGAGAAAGACTTTTCGACCTTGAGTGTGCGGATGATATTGTCCTACTGTGCAATAATACCCAAGCCACTTAATCAGTTGGCAATCAGTGTCCGTAGGTATGGTATGTGCTTTGCACCTTCGAAGTGCAAAGTACTTCTACAAGACTGGCAGGATTCCAATCCTGTACTTACCCTGGATGGTGAGCAGATAGACGTAGTTGAGAAGTTCGTGTATCTGGGTAGCTGCATAAGTGCTGGTGGGGGTGTGAGTGATAAGATCAATGCACGAATAGTGAAAGCCAGAGCGGCTTATGCCAATCTGGGCCACCTTTGGCGCCTTCGTGATGTTAGTCTGGCTGTAAAAGGTCGGATCTACAACGCGTCGGTGAGAGCAGTTTTGCTCTATGCTTGTGAAACCTGGCCTCTCCGAGTTGAGGACGTTAGACGACTGTGTTCGATCATCGCTGTCTCCGAAGGATTGCTGACATTCAGTGGCAACACCATGTCAGTAATGCAGAGGTTCGGCATCGAGTGTTCGGGCACAGTGACGATAATCCAATCGGTATCACTGTATTGGAACACCGACTTCATTGGCTTGGACATGTCTTACTAATGTCGTTCCAGAGAATTCCACATCGTGCATTATTTGCCGACTCTGGGACTGGTTGGAAAAAGCGGAGAGGTGGTCAGCGTAGGATATAGTGTTATGGTACGAAAGAAAGGTGTACAGGGCTGGCATCTGTTGGTCCTTCACGACTCCCTGGTTGGGGTCCTAGAGATGGTACGACACGGTGGCTGGAGACGTTATCAGATATGGCTCAGAATAGAAGTCAGTGGCGATCCTGCTGTAACCTTTTACTTCATAAAAAAATGGTTGCATCTTCCTTAACTGAAAGATTTCTTCTGGTTGTAACTTTCCGTTCCCCCATTAATACCACTATTATTATTACACTACCTTACTCCAATCTCTTCCTCATTGTTCTTTTTTTACCCTTCTCACCTTTTTCCTCTTTCCTTCTCTTTAAATTCTCATTGTTTTGTGTGGTGCATATAAATTTGGCGCACTGTTGTACTAATATGTATGTGTTCAAATAAATAAATAAATAAATAAAAATAAAAGATAGCTTTTCATAATAACACGCAGATGTTAAAATATTTCACATCCAATATGTGAATTTGTACATGAAAAACCGTAAAATTGAGTGCCTTCACAAGTTTCTAGATAACGGTCCATTATTATTTCGTTTTATGCTGAATTCACATTAAATATATCATTATTAATTTCATTCACGGAGTCAAAATATTTTGTGGTTAAAATACTAACAGCTGGCAACACAAACAAATTCATGTTTGTATTCACACGCCTTAGGATAGTCTTAGTCGTGAATGCTCAATCGCGTGACAATTGACCTTGTATGGAGTGATTATTGCCAAATGGATTTTTTGTCTGGCACCAAGCCAAATGCACATGTGACATACTATGTTTTATTCAGAGAACTGTTTATATTAGCTTATTTATAGGTCATCAAATTTTTTACATGCGTAAGTGTATTGGGATTGTCCCACTCTGTTGAGTAATTCTACTTGTTATTTTAATATTGATTTTCATGATTCTGCATCGCATACATGGAGATCCTTGCATTCCGTGAACATACTTCATCTTTTCAGACTACCGACTAACTCTATAATCAGGGATCAATAGATAAGGTCATGTTGACAAATTAGACCAATAAGAGGTTGTCAAATATTACGTGATTAACAGAAGAATGGCTTTCATTTGCAAGGGATAAAACAAACTAAAGGTGAGCTTAATTTCTTAAGGGACAGATATACATGTAAATGAGTGCAAACTAAATGACTTCGGTCTAATCAAATAAACTTCCTCCTTCACTCTGTATTTTCCTCGAATGGCAGAGTTCGTGCATAGAAAGTGTGTATTGGTACCAGCTTCCTGACAATACACATCACTACACCGTACAGGTGTTTCATACAAATTTGATTACTTGTAAAATACCAAACAAAAAAACTCGTTATCTATATTGCGGTGTATGCTACTTATGTCAACAGATATAAGTAGTATGTAGCCACAATTAGAAGTGGAATACCTGGCAACAGAAGATTGAAACGAAGAGAATAGGAAAGAATGGAGACGAAGTGGTGAGGAGTCCCGTACTAGAACGAAACGGCCGTTCAGTGCTTTCAGGTTTAGCTTTAATTGACTCATGAATTCAACTATGAAGTTGGTTTTCTTCACCTGAGTTCTCGTTCATGACAGTATTTAAACATAAAGTGTTACTGCATAAATTTTAAAGTAATCTAAACAAATTATCATTGATAAAATGTTTTAAGAAACATACTGTGGATCTGCAGCAAACATTTTATTGAATGGTTCATGTAATCTGATATAAAATCAGAAAATTCCAAATTAGATTCATGAGGAAATTAAATATTTATTCAAGTAAATTCGTTATATAATGATGTCTTTTAAGCTCACAACTTACATAACTTTAGAAATTATTAATTCGAATATTTTTGTTTGGATTAATGACTGGAAACAGTTCAACATACCATAACTGTATATTTTGTGTTCTAATTTGTTCTGTATTTATTCACATCACCAATATTTAGTTGATGTCCTTCCAATGGATCTTCCTACGTTCTACTAGTAAATAATTATATCATCTTAATTTTGATTTGTTTAAAAAGTCCAAAACCCAATAAATCAGTATTCATTTCAATTATAAAATGACTTAATTTAAGTGATGTACATATACCCCTTCTCATCATAATTCCTTGTGCTAAGCTTATCTTATTCTAGTATTATTATTAGTAATATTAGTGACAGTATTATTATTATTATTATTATTATTATTATTATTATTATTATTATTATTATTATTGTTTACATGTCTTTGTCGTATCATTATAATTAATCTAGCAGAAATATGAAGAATTTGATTAGTGTTTTTATAATTTTACGATTTACTGAATTTATATCACTTCATACACTTCATAGTCTTCGATTGATTGTTTAGTTTGATTTCTCTCATCCTATATCATTTACATTTATTCTAACTATTAATTTCACTATTTCAATTGACTCATAAATTTATTCCAGTCGATCCTAATCATCATTTCAACAGAAATAAAATCATCAGACAAAGGGTTTTGTGGAGATTTCAATAGTTGAAATCATGAGTCAATTGAAGCTAGACCACTATGAAAAACCTGGAAGCTCTGGACGACCGTTTCGTTCTAGTATAGGACACCTCAGCAGCGCGCCATCCACGATCCTTCCCCCCCTCGAGATTCGAACCCAGGACTTATCAGTCCAACGCGCGAGTGCTTAACCACCAGACCACTGAACCGGTATTTAACGGTGTTAATGTCTAACTTCAAATCATCGACGAAATTGCGCCACCATAAACTATTGTCTTCAGTGAGCTGATATCTTACAACAGACCTGGTTGAACTCCACTGGTAACGGCCTCTCACTAGAACTCCAGGAAATGCCTCTTGAAGTCAGTCACTAGTGAGCAGATTATTATTATCAGAAGGGGTTTTATGGAGCGGGGCGAGATCGTGGATGCGCACTGCTGAGGAGTCCCATACTAGGACGAAACGGCCGCCCAGTGCTTCCAGCTTTTCCATGGTGGTCTAGCTCCAATTGACTCACGATTTCAACTATAGAAATAAAATCAGTTTACTGATAGTTCTATATTTGCATTCTGACATTTTTAATGATATATTCCCTCTTAACATGGTTATTCTTCTAGATGACTTAAGAACCTGATAAGAATTTATTGAAAAATAAACTCCTAGTTTCCTATTCAAAATTCAAACTAAATATTTCTCTAAATTTCTACATACATATTATAAGATATTTAATTTCTTGTAGTTGAGTTTCGTTTCCAAAATATGATTTTTGCATAGTTTTTTTATTCATATCAATTTCCTTCAGTATTTGTCTAAACGATCGTCTAGCCGAGCACATATACGTAAACCATCACACCTATTCTAAATTTTCACTTTTTCTTACTCTAATTATTAAAAAAGTCACTTTTAAAACTGAAGAAATAGGAATATTTCTGTAAACATGACATTAAAACAACTTATTACAAAATTAGAATCATGGTAGAGATAGCCACCTAGCACGCTGCTTTTGTGCTCGTAGCTTTGGTTTTAAAATGAGAAAAGCTAAAGTGCCTACAATGTAATTATGTTTAGGCGTAAACTTATCTAAATGATTGACTAGGTCTTCTAAATCATATCCAAGGTTGAATCTACTACATATTGCGGAATAGGAAAGATAACTTATCTGTACTATCCCTTGCTAAGTCATATTATGCAATGTTCTCGAAAGACCTATGTACCTGGTCTTCCAGAAGTAAATAAGCTGGCATATGCAAGCCATCCTTAATGTGACTGTACACGAGTGGGTGTCTATGATACGTTACATAAAAATTTACTTGATTAAACTTCATGTGAGTTGATCTTCAGAGAATTTCGAACTATATCAGTAATTTGTTCTGGATTTTTACTACTTTAGTAAACCGAAACACAACATCCATAAACTAATTTCATGATATTGTGGACTGTATAATAAGTAGTATCAGTGAAATTAACACTTAATGATTTATTTCTAAATACTTCATACTGTACAAGATTCAATCTTTGTGAATATTTTCGATATAGTCACACTATATTTTTAAACTGACTTCTTTTGACAACTAGCGCAGAATTTTTCAACTGGTATATTTTAATATGAATAATAAGATCTCTTCATTCATGATAACTCAAAAGTAAACTATTTTTACATGTACATTTAATAGATCATATACCAGTTTAGTTTTTAATTTTACTTCTGAGTATTTAAAGATAGATGTTTAGTAATTGATTTTTGAGTGGTTGAAATACTTAATTTAAAACTATTTGAATTGCTTTATCGACTCCACATTTCACATGTACTTCAGTTTGATCAGTCGGATAGTATAACTCTCTATCAAACAAGTGTAGTATATAAACTTGTACTTTACTTCTGAGTCTCATCAGTTGTTAAATTTATATTCACTAATAGACTTTTCGATGAAGTCAAAAAAAGATGTAATATAGGTTAATCATTTTATTAATTTTCGTTGCTAGGGTTCATCAATAGTCTTTATTTATTTATTTGAACACATAAATACTGGCACAAAGGGGGTACCAGATACATATGCGCCACACAAATCTCATTCGGTTTGTGTGAGGGCTGGGATACTGCCCGGCTGCCCAAACCAAAGCAGGTAGTTTTCTTAGGAGGTGTCACACCCGGAGCCTTCGACCTCAAGGTTTAATCCACAAGGCAGTGAAGCAACGTTAGATGATGCAGTCTCATGGTAGCCGGTGACCAACAATAGGTTAGTAAGCCGTTTGTTCCCTCAGAATCATAGAGCCCACGCCAACCATTCGTTTGTAATCAGGGTTTCCCAACTCCCCTAGGTGGATCCTTCCTATCCACCAAACCAGTTAAAGCGCAAGACATTCGCTTTTTGTCCTCGCAATTTCGTAAATGATACTACTGCCTCGAGAAGGCAGTGAATAGGACTTCCATGGAAGTGTCTATATTCGTGTAGCCATGTGAGAGCATTTCGAGAGAGAGCTGGTGGCTATCAATAGTTTAGATGGTTTTTAATAGACTTAGAGATCAGAATAATTTTTTAGATAATCAAAATTATTTATTCAACCTAATCGTGACTGGTCATTTCCTGTATATATATAGGATGATACATATTTCATAGTTCTTAATACAAGCAACCAATGATTATATTGTTAATTCAATCAATCTTAAGCGATTTAGAACATGGCTTATGAATGCATCAGTTCAAGTTGCCACACCACACCAACACAGTGGTGTGAAATTATCAGGGCAGATCTGACTAGTTGATCTAGTAACAGTGAGCAAACACAATATAATTCGAGAGGAATGAAATCAAGATCTAATGAAAAGCAAAGAGTAAGTGTATCTATGGTACTTCGACCTGTTCTGAGCCACGTCATCCAAAGCTTCCAACCATTGGTTATGACAATCGCGACGACTCTTTCCTAGTAATCCGCACCTACCAACATAGCTTAATCCAGCCGTCATCAACTTCATGAACTGATGTAACCCTTTGGTTTAGCCACACCCAGCTTTATAAAAAGCCTCACATACTATAGCTCATCTACTTTGTTAGAATATTCTTATTCCCTCTTTCATTGCAAACATACTAATAGTTTGTGACAACTGTCTTGAAATTGTTCTCTTTCCATGTAATTTCCTAGTGTTATTGTCATGCGCGTTGTGTGTGAGTATAATTAATAATATTTGGCGCCAAACAGACAAAATGATTTTAAAACTTTCAAGAATCAAGTCCAAAATAAAACAAACAAAAATAGTCTATCTCTCAACTTCCCATCATATCTAACATTAATCTCTCTCCCAATTTCATACTTATTTCTATCATATGACTTTCCTTTATATATACTGTTTTCTAAAGTCATTTTCTTCCTCATTTGAATCCACACTTTTCATGTACATGTGAAGATACATTCCTTTTTTTCTGATATGCCGTATATATATATATATATATATATATATATATATATATATATATATATGTCTTCCATACTTTTAGTGAAATTGGCAAATTGCCAAAAGTACATTGATTTTAATGTTACGGATTTTTATCTGTCAAGTTCATCGATTAACATTGATTTAAAAAACAAGTCCGTCCTTAGCTTAATTTTGGCGAAAGATAAATAAATGTTCAGTTTAATACGGGGA